GGAACTGTTATCGCCTAATCTTTTGCCAAACGACCCTCTATAATGATTGTCTACATATTACTGGATAGAAGTTTCAGTTTTATTGATCAAGGAAAATTACGTTTAAAAAAAAAAGACATTTTCATTCGACGGTAATTCTGGATAACAACTTTTCAAAATACGTGTTTAAACGTTTAAAAAAATATATATGATATTTTTTATGAAAATTTATCATTGAAAATGACAATTAATTAAAGTACATGTCTTTTGAACACAAATTGTCTCCTTAGTTACCATGCAACTTCCATGTTGTAAGTTATGAGACTTTAGTGTTTAGATTTTTGAACACAAATTGTCTCCTTAGGACATTAAACTTTTTCATTTTAAATGATTAAGTCCCTAAATTTTTTTTTGAATTAAAAAACCATTTAACTTTCTTTTTTCGAATGATTAAATCTTTAAAAAAATTTTGAATAAATAAACCATCAAACTTATAAAAATTGGTTACATACATTCATTTAACCCAAAAAATCTACATGAAATAGATTATGAAGGTTTTGAAGTAAAAAAAAAGTCTGAATAAGTTCTACCATTCTCTATCACTGTTCATCACCATCGTTGGCCCTGCCACCGATCTCCCTTTTTTTATTGTTTTCTTTTTAGATTCTCTATCTTTTTTTAAATATGTTTGTATGTGCTCTACTAAATTGTTATAAAAGAGGAAGAATAGAACGATAAAAAAGCAGATCAAAAATAGGTTGGTGGCATAACCCACCGATGGCGATGGGCAGTATGGAGAACGAACAACGAAGGGGTGACGAAGAGTCACAAGGGGAGTGATGTCGTTGTGTATGAGGGGTTTGAATGACGTAGGATTTGAAATAGTAAAACCAATTTAGTTTCTTTTTTTTTCTTTTTTTTTTACTTTAAAACCTTCTTAGGTGGTTACAAGTAACTTTTCTTTGGTTAAAATGATTTAGCTAACTAATTTTTAAAACCTCGATGACTTATTTATTCAAACAAAAATGTTTAAAGAACTTAATCATTTGAGAAAGGTTTAATAAATTTTTAATTCAAGAAAATAGTTTAGGAACTTGATCATTCAAACCGAGAAAGTTTAATTATTTTTTCATTAAAAAATAGTTTAAATATTTAATTATTTAAAATAAAAAAGTTTTGTTGGCTTTTTTTGAATTTTTTTATTTTAAATTACAACACAAACATATATATATATATATATATATATATATAGGTTCAAACGAGAACACCTCCATTTTATGAGAACGCAAGAACACCCTTATCACATGTGATAATACGCGTGAGGGGACCCTGTGATGTGCTGACGACGTGTTTTACGACTTAGGCCGCGTCAAAGGTTGTCTGCGTCTATGATTTAACATCACAAGTGATGATCTTGATGGATTATAGTATCATATCAACAACACATTTATCACATGTGATAATATTTGTGAGGGGGCTTAGTGGTGTAAGGGCGACTTGGCCCGCAACCAAGATCGCATCGAAAATTGCCCGTGTCTATGATTTAGTATCACATGTGATATAATAATATTATCACATGTGATTGTCTATAGTATAAAGGTGTTACACACACACACACACACACACACACACATATATATATATATATATATGTGGAGTTCAAACGAGAACACCTTCATTTTACGAAAACGCAAGAACATCCTTATCACATGTGATAATACGCATGAGGGGACCCTATGATTAGAGGACGACATATTTTACGACTTAGGCCGTGTGCTAAATGTTGTCTGCGTCTATGGTTTAACATCACAAGTGATGGTCTTGATGGATTATAATATCATATCAACAACACCCTTATCACATGTGATAATACTTGTGAGGGGGCTTAGTGATGTAAGGGCGACTTGGCTCTCAACCAAGATCACATCAAAAATCACTCGCGTCTCTTATTTAGTATCACATATGTATCGTATGTGATGAAATAATAGTATCACATGTGATTCTCTATAGTAAAAGAGTGTTCTCGCATTCTCATAAAATTAAGGTGTTGTCATTTGAACCTCCCCCCCCCCACACACACACACACATATATATATAGTTTGGTTCAAATACTAACCAAGATTTTTGTGTTAACTTTGTTAACTAATCTTGGTTATTGATTCTTACAATAAAGAGTTGTGATTAATTATGATAAAAAATTAAAATTTTAAATTTATAATTTCAAAGAACATATGTGAACAAGGGGGAAAAGGATATTTAGGTATTTTCTTTTTAATGTAACTCCATATTATTAATTGAGAGTTACAAAATCAAAAAATCTCATTATTTTTATTAATTTATTTTTGTTAATGTAAGAACCATATGAACACACACACACACACACACACACACACACATATATATATATATATATATATGAACCATTGTATCAAATACAAACAAAAATTGATATATATATGAATTCGGACTGTATAACATTTATGAACACAATATGAATATAATAAGAATAGTTGTTACACGAAAATAAATAAATAAAAAAACATGTATGAACACAATATGAACAATTTGTGAACAATAGTTCATTCATTATGATCACATTCAGGAGCAAGCCAATGTTGAGATATGCAGCTAGTGTACATATGAACAACAATATGAACAGTTTGTGAACAATAGTTTTTTCATTATGAACACATTCAGGAGCAATCCAAAGTTGAGATATGCAGCTAGTGTACATATGAACACAATATGAACACTTGTGAATAATTCTTTAACAATTACATATGAATTCGAATTCCGATTGTAGTTGTAGACGATTTTAACCTTTTCATTCTCATTGTTGTCGATCTGTTTTCCAATAGGTTTATCCATATTACTCGGACGATATCGAAATCTTTACAATCGGAAATTCTTTAACAATTAAAAAATCAATATCATTATGGATAGAATAAATCGAAATTACAAAACATGAACACGTATAAAAAAATATCAATATTACATAATCATCAATTATTGAGATTTTTAGATTTGTAACTCCCAATTAATGATTTGGGAGTTACATAAATGACAAATTACTTAATTACCCTTGTCATTAATATATGAATTATATGTGAACCAAAAGAAAAGATGAAATATGATTGGTTGAGTTTGGTTAACAAAGTTAACACAAAAATGTTGGTTAGTATTTGAACCAACCCATATATATACATATATATACATATACATATATATATATATATATATATATATATATATATGGTTTAAAGTTTGTTTATGATTGGAAGAAGAGAGCCAGCCAAGAGACAAGCAAAAGTTTGTCTCATATTGGAACGTATCTGAGGAAATCATGCAATAACATGACCTTTTCGACATTCAACGCTTCCCAAACACATGAAGACAAACATACTTTTATCTCAATTTCATGAAAATCACAATATAAAAAAAATAACACACATCTTTTTAATGAAAATAAGAATTATTAGTCGAAGAATGCAGTAAATATCACGTAAATTAAGGTACCAAAGATACTTAACCTTTGGTAAGATGTTTGATATTTTATAATTGGGTCACTCAAATACACTTTAAAAATACGTTTTAATATAATTAAAATCACAGTCTTATAAAAATACATTATAAAATTATTTAAAAATACATTTATTTATAAATTTTTTTTAATTTTCGGGTCGGGCCGGGCCTATAACCGATCCCAGTCGGTCCAGGTCCCACGTAACTATCAAAAACCCCAACCGGTCCCGGTTTTCGGTCCTATAACCGATTCTTACTGGTCCCAAGCCGATTTGGCCATCACTACTTATGATTGTGGCATTAGGGTTCGTGTTTCTTACACTATTGGGTTCTACTATCATTTTCTGCTTGCACACATATCACTTGTAAATTTTCCAAGTATCATATGGTAATATCATTGTATTCAAAAACTTAGTTAGAGGTGAAGATAATTGATTTTGTTTAGATTTTCTATTGTGTTATTTTTAAATGATTTTTTTGATAATTATTTTACATATTTATCGTAAAATAGAATTTTTTTTTATGTAAATTTATCGTTATGATATTTTGAAGACAAACAGTCAGACATTTGTCAGTCTATAAAACAAATGGTCTTATTGATTATTTTTTCAAATTTCATCACCGCTTCTTATTAATAAGAAATGAAATAAGATTTCAGACTTCAACATATCTTAAAAGACAAACAACACCTTAACTTTTCTTTTTTCCTATCCAATAAAAAAATGAAACCCTTATTCAATACTAGAAGGGTACCCGCGCAATGCAGCGAGATACATCTTGATTTTAATATTTCATTTTATTCTTTATCTCAGTCGATGTTATAATATGATCTTATTTTATTTATAATAAAATATAAATTTGAAGATATCATAAAAAATTTATATCGATATTAGTATCAAATTAAATATTTAAAATTTCTTATTTTTTGTGTAATTTTTAATTCAATTTTTTTTTATTATAATTTAATTTAGGTTCATAACGAAGTAATTTATATTTGGTTTAATAATATAATTTTCTTATAAAGATAATAATTAATTATTTTGTTAGAACTCGATAATTATCCTAATTATATTTTAGATTTTTTATATTTTAAAATGAGATGTTTATCCTCAATTTGATTATGTTTATCTGCARTTAGTTACACGGATTCAAACATGAAGCTTTAATAAGTTGTACTTGTGCATAACTTACTTATAATCTGAAATTTTAAATAATATGCATCAATGTATAGTACTTCATGCATAAAAAATAGTTTTTAAAAGTTTTATTAAATGTTTTATAATATATAGTATAGATTTTATTTCTTATAAGAATGGTAGTTTGTAAGAAAAGAAAATACAAAATAGAAAATGGTCTGGGTTTAGATTATTTGGCCCAATTAAATAAGCCCACAGAGGTGCACACAATCTAAGCTGAACCCAATCCACACCTTAACAAAACCCTGTAGGGTTTTTAAAACCACGTTTACGCCACCCCTCAAATCTGTGCCGCTTCGGCTAGGGTTTTCTTTTCCATTATCACTGCTAATTTTTCTCCTACAATTCACACTCACTCTACTCTCACCGTTTTTCTATTGTTGATTGATTGAATCGATTCATGGACGCTAAGAACAATCTTTAGGGTTCCGTCTTGTTGTTCGCCGCTAGTTTTTGATTTCCGAAGTTCGTTTATTGTGTGTTGAAAAATGGCATCAACGAACCCTTTTGATCTATTGGGTGACGATGATAACGATGACCCAAGTCAGCTCATAGCGAAGCTGCCCGCGATTGTTGCTGCAGCGGCCCCGTCCACCAAGAAATCGCAGGCTGGTGGTGTGACTGCTAAGCCGACAGCCAAGCTTCCATCAAAGCCGCTTCCTCCTGCTCAGGCTGGTAAATTTTGTATTTTTAATCCTCTTTTAATTTGTTTATATTCCTCTGTAAGATAGAAAATTTGCGGGGTTTGTCGTCGATGGAGATGATGGGTACGATGAGTTTTTGATGCTTACAATTGTTTATGCGTATGTGAATGCGCATACCTGCACTCATTTAAAATGCGATTTTTGGGTTGGAACTAAGATGGAGGATGTGTTAGTATTTGATTAGTCACTGAATTACGTTTTGGATTATTATAGTAATCACATTTGTGTTATTGAACCATCGTACTTTTGCATGTCAAAATTAAAAACTTCAATGGGGGCAAAATGACAAATTTTATAATGGTTATTCTAAACTCATTGGCAGCCTGATTGAAATTGTTGTTATGGCACAAACGACCTCCTTTTTACGTTATACAAAAGCACCTATTACTTTGTTCGATGCAGGAGTTCAAGTCAGATGCATTTTTATGTAAATGTTGGCCTGTATAAAGCAAACAGACTCGACTTGATTGATGTTTTTTGAGTGTTTTTTTGTTAAATACCTCAGACAGTCATCAGTTTGTTTTTTTAAGGTGTGACTTTTAATCATTTAAACGAGCAAATGAGATTAGCATCTATATTTGTGGTGGTTTTGTGGTGATAAAACAAAAATTGGTAATGTGGGGTATGGCAGCAGAGGTGGGGAGAGCTAGCTATTGAAATCATATGCGTGTGTATCATTTAGCTTTGCAGATCTCTTGTTGTTTGAAAGCATTTAAAAATCTTGCTTTTAGTTTAGGACTGGTTTGCTGGAATCTGAGTTTGTCTTTTAGCTGGTCAAAGACCGTGAAGAAAAGCCCCCTTTGTTCCAAAAGTTGAGGAATCTGATTACAAACCCTTACAAGTTCAGTCATAGTTTAGGCTAACTCTATTTAAAAACACTAATTTGGTATTCTTTATTGTATTATTGATAAGACACTTGATAAGCATAGTGGTTTAAATTCTATATCTGTCTGTATCTGCAGTTTCTGTTTTAAGCAAGCTGTAAATAGAAACTGTTAGCATATGTTACATAGGCATGCAGGCAATATTTGGTTTAAAATTAGCAACTTTGATTGTTGAAATTAAAATTGGAGCATCTATATTGTTGATCATTAATCACCAACAACGGGCTAAAATATTATGCATAATGGTTAATCTTTTTTAGGTTTTTTGTTTGTGTCAAATTCCAAAAATACAACTATATAAAATGCTGGTTTTTTTGCTTAAAATGTTGCTGACACATGGAAGTATGATTCATTGCTATGACTTGAATGAAATGGGAATGTGATCTCCTTTTTTGTGCATGTGCAAATGTAACTTTCTAAAATGAAATATGCCAAGTCAGGGCTGTTAGTGGATATTTGAAAAGTGACATATATTTGTGTGTGTGTGCGTATCTTTTATTCTTTTATGAGGTCAAGGCGACATATAGAAATATATAATTTGATACTATATGAATATTGCTTGAACAAATATTATTAAGAAACATGGTGGTGGATGCTTATCTATATTTGCGAACATTAGGTGTTTGTGATTGAATAAAGTCATATTCGGTGACCTTCAATAATGCTAGTTCCATCAACACCAATTCTAGAATCTGCTTGTGATTCTTATCTTGTGCCTGATGAAGGTGGAATTGTAATATTGATACCTTGTTTAGCTTTTGCTTATAATATTATGTTTGAGTTTGTTGTAGATTTCTGATGTCTATTTTATGATTTAATTACTGTTTTTGGTCCTAGTATTTGGTTCATTTTCTGACTCATACTTTTTTTATTTATCCTGTAGTGCAAGAGGCTAGGAGTGATGGTCAGAGGGGAGGAGGTCGTTTCGGTGGACGTGGTGCTGGTCGTGGTGGCCGTGGTGGACGTGGGTTTAATCGTGATTCAGCTGACAATGAGAACTCATATGGAACTAACAATGGCTTCTCTGGAGGTTACAGACCTTCAGATGATGGAGATCTTGAGAAGTCCTCTGAAAGGCGTGGTGGATACAGTGGGCCCCGTGGGGGATTCCGTGGAGGTCGTAGAGGTGGCTACAGTAATGGGGATTCAGAAGGTGAACGTCCCAGGAGGGCGTTTGAACGCCGCAGTGGAACTGGTCGAGGGTTAGTACTTATGCATTGTAGCTTTTAGTTAACTGATAATTTCAATTTGAGAAGATGAAGTGGAACATTATCATTCAAGTTTAAAAATTCACATGGTTATAGCAAGTCTTGTTTTGGCTGCTTATCTACATCTGACAATCCTTTGTATTTTTTTATTATTAATATGTCATAATATCTTTCTAATTATCCCTTCCGATATGCAGTAATGAGTTTAAGCGTGAAGGTGCTGGTCGTGGCAATTGGGGAACTGCTACTGATGAGGTTGCCTTGTAAGTACCCATATTTTAGCTATCAGGTCTTATTCTCTTCATTTATATATAGTCTTTATTTTTTGAGCTTAAATTTGCAGTGAAATTCAAACTTTTCGATTTTAAGAAAGTTTGTTTCATGGGTCTAGCGTAAAAGATGACAATGTGGTGCAGTTCTTTGTTGTATTCACCCAGGGTTTGGCTCTAGCCGTCTTGGCAAATTTCATGTCTTTTTGTATCTCTGGTTTGTGCTCAAATCAATCCCCTTTTTCCATGCTTTTATCAATCATGTTTGGCAAATTATTAAGATACTCTTAAGTCACTATAATTTGAAATTGTGAAGCCAACATAAATGGGATAGAAGAGAAAGACAAATAGAAAGGCAATTGATCAGAAAGATGTGGGAATTCTGATAAATATTGAATCATACAGATTCGTTCATCTGAAACTAGTTTACTTGAAAAATGCAACATATGTTTAAATTGATGTAGCATTTTGATACTGATATTTTTGCTTGTATATTTATTTTTAGGGAGCAGGAAGAACCGGTGATTGAAGGTGAAAAGAATGTGGACTCTGAGAAGCCAGCTGGACAGGAAGATGTGGTTGATGCCACCAAGGAGAATCCTGCAACTGAGGCAGAGGAGAAAGAGCCTGAAGAGAAGGTGAATATCTGATATTTGGTTTTTTTCTTGTTTCTTCTCTTTCTTCCCTGCTTTTCTGATCAATGAAGTTTTGACATGCGACGATTTTAAACTCCACATCTGCTCATATAATTAATTAGATCGATATCAGCTGTAGATACTTGTGTTTCGCCTCATTTGAACCTGATCATACCTGGTTGTTTATTTTCTGATTTTTTTCTGTTCAGATGCTGTTTTTGCTTCTTTCTTTTTATAGTTAATATGCAATATGCAAAAAACTAGCAAATAAAAGGTCTTCTAAGTAAATTAGGCCCATCATTACTTTCTCTTTGTTTCCATTTGGAAACTGGAATATATTTAGCTTCCATTAGTTTAATATGACATTGGTAGTAGGGCGATTCTTTTGCTTTTAAGTGATTAAATACTTTTTTATGTTATCAGGTGATTCCGATAAAACAAGTTATTTCATGATTAATATTTGTATATATGTATGCTCATATCAATAGTGGATCATGCAATTGCTGTTAAACAGTTTGCCTTACTTATTTTGCATTTGGCGGCTATTGAATTAATGAGCTTTCTGGAGATTTTATCTATTATTTAATTAAGTATTATGTGATTTTATTTTCTCATTCATTATGCTCTAGCTATCGTGTTAATCGACTACGGTTATTTGGTTACCATTCATGACAGGAAATGACGCTGGAGGAGTATGAAAAGGTGCTAGAGGAGAAGAGAAAAGCATTGCTAGCACTGAAATCTGAGGAAAGAAAGGTTGGATTGGACAAGGATCTTGCGAAAATGCAGTTGCTGTCGAACAAGAAGAGTGAAGAGGATATCTTTGTTAAACTGGTAATAACTAAAAAACCCTTTCACAGTGTTATAGTATGTGATTATTACCTTTTGTTTTTTGTGTTAGTGTTTTGTATTTCGTTAACATTTTCTGTTGTGGGCAGGGTTCCGAGAAGGATAAGCGCAAAGAGGCTGCTGAGAAGGAAGAGAGAGCTAAAAAGGTGAGTTTGCTGACATTCAAGAATCATTCTTTACCATCTACGAGAACATAAACTTTTCTTCACGACTTTGTTTATTAATGTAATCTGTCCTAGATTACATAGAAAGGCAAAAAAACACGAATCTTTTCAGTTAGGTTGGTGGACACCGCTTTTTAACATTGTGTTCTTGAAACCATTTTTAAGGAAAAGAAACGAAAGGAAGGAGTTATCTTTTACGACAAACATACTCCCACAAGGAAAAGTGAAAAACAAAAATAAAGGTTATATTTGTAAAAATGACATTTTTTCCATTCCTTCCACAAGTAAAAAACTTATATTTTCCATTATTTTTTTCTTTTCATTCTTGTGAAAGAAACTATCAGTTTCATCAAGTTTCTGTTCGTCACGCATCAACCGGATCTTTTTTGTTTCTTAGAGCATCCCATTTCTTCACATGGTACTGCTATTCTTTTCGCATATGATTTGCATGATTGTTGCAAGTCTGTTACACTAGTGTTAAATCATTTTAATTCAGGCAATTGGTTGATTTTGGTTTATTTTGACAGTCGTTGAGCATTAACGAGTTTCTGAAGCCTGCGGAAGGGGAAAGGTACCAGAATCCAGGTGGGCGTGGTAGGGGCCGTGGACGTGGGTTCAGAGGAGGATATGGTGGTGGAAACAGAATGAACGATGTGGCGGTTGTGGCTCCAGCGATTGAGGATGTTGGTCAGTTCCCATCTTTGGGTGTGAAGTGAGTTTGTCTACTTTTCCTAAGAAGTTAAATGGTGGTATGTTTTATTAAGTTGTGTAAATTGTTTAGTTTGGCCTGGTGTTTTGTCTTGAATCATCATGACTTGGTATTTGTAGGCCATTTTGAGATTACCATTTTTATAGCCTTGGATGTTTTGAGTTGTTGCTCAATTCTCAGTTTTGAATTAGAGTCATTTGGTTTCATTTCGTTTTAAGTTTTGATGGTGTTATGGTATATCAACACTTTTGAGGAGTGGACAATAAGTTAACAATAACATGTTAAAAGAACAAGACACCTGCATAATATGCTAACATACACCCTAATTGTCCACACATACATTATTGCTAAACTTAGGGCCAAAAATCTTACTTGATAAGAGCAACGATAAGGATGGAGAGTCTTATCCGGTAAGTGAGGGTGATGAATCTTACTATTAAGTGCTTACCAAGTAAGCATTTGGGTAAACGGTCCCTTAATATACTCATTTTGAACAAAATTATCATTAATCCAGTCCCTTGTTCACGTTTTATAAATTTCTTATCTCTAGATAAATCATTTACTCTATAACTTAGGCTATGTTGGTTGAGAGCTAGCTGTTGATGATTGATTAGTGTTTGAAGATGCTATTTTTAGTATTTTATATTTTTATCAGCTAGTTTTTTTCAAGCATGAGTTGTTCATTACTTAGTTTGCAAAACACAGTCTAAACCTTGCTTTTGGTGCATGAAGACCTTTGGTTTGACATTGTAGTTTTCATGTTCACTACATATATTATCGTCATATATGTTTATTAAGAGTATGGTTGTCGTAGAGATAGGATATGACAAAACAAGATATAACAATTGTTCAGTGTTGGGTTAAGATAGAGTTGAACAAAACAAAACAAGTAAAACGATCAATTTACTTTCTAAATAGTTGTATATATATTTTTATTAATTTATGTAATTTATTAAATTACATTAAAATAATATTTATCATAACAAAATATATCTTTAGAAAGTTTATAACAAAATACATTACAATAATGGGATCTTGATAAAGTAACCCTTTAAAATATTAAATTTATCAAAATAACTCATAAATATAACATTTTTAAAAATAGCCCCCGTTTAGCATTACTCATTAACTGGTGCTTGGGGTTTTTTTTTGCCAAAAAAAAAAAATTGACTTCAATAGTGGGTCCCACATGTGGTGCGCGGTGCGTAAAGGTGGGTCTCACTATATATTTTTATCAGATTTTCATTCCCTCTCACTACAACATTTATTTTATTTTGTTTTTTTTTTTCTTCTCAATGTCATTATATAAACAATTCAATTTTTTTTTAACCATCACTTTCATCTTTACTAACTTAATATAATCTTTATTACCAAATACCACATTTTATATCAAAAACCAATATAATCTCATTTTCACGACAACTCTTTAAGTGTTGTACTTTTTTTTTATACATATATATATATATATATATATATATGCTCATTCAAGGGAGAACTGATTAGTTTGTGAGAATTCTTTTTTTGACAACTAATTAAAATATTTAATTAAAATTAGTTACCTAATATACATCGTATTTTAAAGACGTTTGTGAATCAAAGTGTATAATAGTGATAATGTTCACAATGTTTCACGTGTATCACAATGTATTTTCTTTATTTTTTGAAATGTATCATATTATGTATTTTCGTTATTTTCATTGTTTTATAAAGGATATCACATTGTGCATCTTGTATGTATATATGGGTATCACAGTGAAATATATTACTATATGTATCTTGTAATGAGACAAAATTCTTCTCGTCTAAAATGTAAAAGACGTCCCCTGACATTCTCAAATAATTGTCTCTTTATGGTCTTGCTCTAGTGGCGGGGCAATGCTCTCAAAATTGTATTTGAATTTTCAATACTTGATTTATATTAACAAATGTTTCATAAAAATTCTCTTGATAAATATAATATAAATAGGTTACAAAAACAATATATAAATAGGTTACAAAAACAATATATAAAAATTTGATGTTGTAAAAATGAGATTATATTAAAATTAATATAAGAATATTTACCATGATGTAGAAGATCAAATTGTGTCCAACGAGGGTGAAAGAAGTAGCTGAATATTTAAAATTGGTGTTTTAAAAATGAGAATATATGGGTTCTTGATATAAAATGTAAAAATTGGTAATGAACATTATATTAAGATAATGAAGATGATATTAAGATAGTGAAGATAAAAGTGATGGTTTTGTGTTGATTAAAAAAATTTGCATTGTTTATATAGTGTGGTTGAGAAGAATGAGTCGAAGAATGCCTCATTTCATAGGGAACCTTAAAGTGGCTGGGCATGATGAGGATGGCTTATCACCTACAGTTTGTTCAGAAGGAAAATCCATGGACTGACCCAATCATCTCCACTTCATAGGAACTACGAGATAACCCCAAGGACACTTTCAGCATGACCCTTCAATTCGAATTAGCAATGTCTCCTTGCATATATATCATTATAAAGTTTTCGTCAAAGCAATTAAAATGATACTAAATAAAAAGTTTATGTAGTTTTCAATATTTATTATATCCTTTTTTACATTATTTTTTATTAATATATAATAAGTTAAAATTATTAAATTGATAAAAATATAGAAATCGTATAAAATAATATTTTTGGGACAGTAAATTGAAAATTTAAAAACATAAAATACGATAAATAGAATTTAAATAATGAATAAAATGTAAAAAAGAGACATATTTAATGTTTTAAAATAGAATTTAAGTTTAATGTTGAGGTTATTGCTAAAATATAAGTTTGTTTCACTTTTGTAAGACCCATATTACATAAATGATACCAGGTTTGAAATAACTCATTTCTATAAATGATAAACAAACCACCATAAGTTACATTTTTAAACCATTAGAAAGCAAACGAGATATAATATTTACGAGTTTCTAATTCGAAATGTGCGCTTGGTTTACAGGATGTTTCCGTAAGCACCTGTTTTCCAAAATATCCTAAAACGGACAAAATAAACTTAATAGATTTGCAGAAGCTTAAACTATATACAAAACGAAGGACATTAGCTACCCGTTATCTAGATACTTGTAGTTACAACCAAAAGACAACTAATAATTTACAATACATAGCTGTATTCGACTAACTATATAATATCAAAAGAGTCGTGCTACTGGAAGCACCAAAATCAAAGATCTCAATCTACTTGAGCTTGTTCTTTGCCTTATTTACATGGCCTGTAAAAATGTGAACAACTAAAAGGGTAAACACATAATGTTTAGTGAGTAAACGGGAACTACTAACTACTAAAGCTTCACAAATGTAATACATGGAAGTTAATGATCACGAAGAATGTAAATCTTGTAATAAGTAATCATCATTCGAGAATCATACATCTGAATATCAAAGTATGCAACAAATAGATCGTGTGAAAGTCAATAATTGATATGTACTGCCACCGAGCTATCCCGGTCGTGGCAAGCACAACAATATATATTATAGATTTCATACCATCCGAACTAACCCGGCCAGTGGAATGATCTTCCCACCCGAGCTATCCCGGACAACGGGGAAAATGACCGGACTCTAACACGGTCAAATACGCACCATACCCGAGTAATCTYAGCTGATATGGGCTTAAGCGTGCCTCCCCGGGTGAAACACAAAGTAACCACCGAGTAGCACGTATGGAAGGACAGAGTGCAATAGCCAATAATCTCTTGAAATTGATAAGGAGACATAACATGGATGAGTGTGGAAGCAAGTAACAAATAGATAACACATGTCTAGCAAATAGCAAGTTAAGTATCCCCATAAACTCGCAGTGCTTTTCGATATTCAAAAAAATCGAGCCAAATTAGGCTCTACGTCCATATATGTCTAAACGTCGTCCAACGGTCAATCTGGAAGAACCAAGTGAGCTTATTTAACACCTGTAATATGTATCCAAAGTTTCATAAAGATCCGACAACAATAACTTAACCAAACTTAATTTAAACTCATTTTAGTTACTATAATTCACAGCTCAAAATCAATTTTTATCAGTTTTTAGACGCAATTATATTCAACCTAGAAGCCTTATTTCTAAAAAGTGTCTAAATGACAGATTTAGAGCTACATATAAGCTTTCTAAAATGTCCAGAATCGTAGCAATCCGAACTACGGTTAAGAAGTTATCGCACATTCAAAACAACATCTCGGATAGATTCGGTGCTGTCAAATTCACCAACTATATAGGCTAAAATCCATATTTTGGATTCAATCTTTATTCCAACAATCAAAATACCATCTAACCATGTTTATATTATTGTTTACAAGATCAATATTCAAGAATTTGGCATAAAACTCAAGCAAAAACCATTTGAAACAACCTTAATTCACCCCTATGAAGCCAAAATCTCCCCTGGTAGTAAGTATGAAGACGAGACTCTGTTTTGGGAGAAAAAGAAGGTGAACATCATGTATATTCGACTTTTACGAGTTGGGGCTGAGTTGACTCGGCTGAAAACTCGGTTTGACCACTAATCACTAAAAATCGCATAACTTTTCGYTCGGACCTCCGTTTTTGACGTGGTTTTCGCTCACGCGTTTGTAAAGAGATAATCTACAACTTACAATAGAAACATTTCAGAAAATATCTTCCAATAAAAGTCAGTTTTTATGTATCCGTAACGTAGATATTGATGCTTTTGACCCGTTTCTTTCCAATTGTTTTGCCCCAGGCCTCGTACGATGGTTCCGACTATTTCATATATAGTTTATTGCGTTCGGGTTTGCTTCCAAATTTTACGTTTTGATCACATAAACACGTATAAAGGAGATAATTGCAACGTATTTGCGAAAGTGTATGTTACAATTTTATTGCATCCTGTTCCATGGGGGTAGGGATGGAACAAACCTGTTCCAATTTGTTACTATCTATTCCATATAAAAGTCCTTCCAAAAGTTGAACAAAGATTCATATTTTATTTTATTATGTCATGACCAATATACCAAACACACCGTAAACGACATCAAGGCAACAAAATCAAGCATGATCATGGATGTTTTTTATGTGTATCCATGTGTGTATATGTAAATTTATTCGGAAAAAATATATTATTTTTTATGATTTTAGTCTTTGTAGTTTGAGAAACATTTCAATTTTTGTTTTTGTGATTTTGAAATTATGATTTTCATCTCTATAATTTATATTTTATTGTTGTTTTCGTTTCTAAGACTAAATATATTAAAAACTATCCACTAATTTAGGGGTATTTTAGTCTTTTTTTATTTCCTTTTTTGGTTTATTAAATATATTTTTTAGTTTTCTTTTTGGTAATATATTTTTTGATTAAAAAAATTAATACATTAAAAAATATTTTTATTATTATTTATGATAAAATAATTAAATATTTTTAAAACAAATAGTGTTTTTTTTAAAATATTTTTAGTCATTATAATTTTAGTTTTTTATGAGTTTGATTTCTACCACTAACAATCATTCAAGTGACCAAAAGGCCTTTGTCCTAGCGGTATATGAGTTATTGGCCTTCTAGGAGGTCAAGGGTTCAAACCCCTCACCAAAGGTGAGGAGGGTGTGAGTTTATTTGTTCTATTTACCGTATATAAATATTATATACTTCAAAAATAAAAAACAAAACAATCTTTCAAGTGCAAGACATTGACTATCTCTCATATAAATGTATTTTAATTCTTCTTTCTTTATCACAGAACAAATGATTGTTAGTGGTATAGTTTTTATTAATATGATGTATAGTTTTTTGGTCTCATAAATAATTCAATTATTACAATAAATGCATGCCTATATAAATATGTTACAATAAATTTATAAAATAAAATAAAGTGTTCAATTAATTTTTTTAATGATATCTTTTTCAAATACAAATCCGGAAAGACGTATATACAAATGTAATCCTTCAAAAATGTCATACAAAAAACTTATTGCAACTCTTCTTTTTTAAAATGTCATATAAACACATATCTATACTTACTATATTACAAAACATTTGACAAAAACTCTTAAAAACCATTTTTTTTAATGAAGTACTGTGTATTAATACATATTACTTAAACTTTAAGATTACAAGTAAATTGTGCGTAAGTACAATTTATTAAAGTTTTATTTTTGAATTCGTATAACTAACTTCAGATAAACATAATCAAATATATGATAAATATCTCATTTTAAATATAAAAAATCTAAAATATAATTAAGATATTCATTGAGTTCTAACAGAATCATTATCTTTATAAAAAATGTATTGTTAAGTCAAAAGTAAATTACTTCACTATTTGACCTAAATCAAATTATAATAAAAAATTGAATTAAAAAAATAGTACAAAAAAACGAGAACTTTCAAATAGTTAATTTGATGTTAATATCGATATATTTTTTCAAATTTTTATGATTTCTTCAAATTTATTTTTATTCAAAAGTAAAAACATTATATTTCTCAAAACCACATAAACCATATTATATCAACAAAGACAAAAAATAAAACGAAACATTAAAATGAAGATGTATCTCGCTGCATTGCACAAGTACCCTTCTAGTGTTTTTAAAATACAAATCCGAAAAGACGCCATATAAATGTCATTATTCAGAATTGTTATATCAAAAAATTATTTGGACACTTTATTTTAAAAAATGTATTTAAAAATGTCTAAAAGCTTATTGTAATATTATTATATATGACATACATTTGTTTGACATAATTGAATGATTTATGAGACCAGATAATTATATGAATGACATTAGAGACATAAATCAAACTAATAAGAAACTAAAACAATAATGACTAGAAATATGAAAACACAAATTCTATGAAAAATATTTAATCATTTTATCATAAACAATAATAAAATAAAATAATTTTTTTATGTATTTATTCTTTTATCAAAACATATATAGTTTTATTAAATCAGAAGACTAAAATACCTGCAGGTTAAATGGGGGATTTTTAAAGATGTTAGTCTTAGGGACGAAAACATTAATAAATTACAAATCACAATGACAAAAATAACAATGAATTACGAACCATAAGAATAAAAATCGTAATTTTAAAACCATAACAACGAAAATCCTAAACAAACCATAAGGGCTAAAATCGTAATTTACTCTATTTCTTATGTATAGTATTCTTATTTATCTTTGGGGTTGCTATTAGGGGTGTAAATGATACGAGACAACTCGTGAGTTAGTCGAGATCGACTCGGTCAAAGCTCGGTCAACACTCGACTCGAATAGACTTGGCTCGAACTCAAACTCGAGCTCGACTCGACATATTAACGAGTCGAGTCTAGCTACCCAATACTCGACTCAAAAAGCTCGTGAGATACTTGATTATTTTATATATAATTAGTTTTAAAATACAATCAGTTTTTATGATAAAATTTATAAAATATTAATAATAAAAATGTCTTGTATATTTAGATATTTAAACAAAATTATGCATTTTTTAATTATAAAAAATAATCAATTATTTTTTATTAAAATCACAATTAAAAAAAGACAAAAGAAAACTATAAAAAAAGTTAGTGGATTATGTCTCACATTAAAAAAGAGATGGTAAAGGAAGGAAGAAAAGATGTTATAAAAAAAAAAAAGAGGTGCATGAAATTTCTAACTTTTAATTTTTGATGATAAAGTTTGAAGTTGATCTATTTAGTTTTATAAAACTAAGATAACATCTTTAAATTTTAAAATTTATAAAAGAAAAACCCTAAAGTTTCATAAATTTCAATGGCTGAGCTTGATTCGAGTTCAAGTTTGATTTGAATTACAGTTCAAGCTTGTTTTGATCTTGTTTCGAGCTTGGAAATTGGGTTTCGAGTTCGAGTCAAGTATAATGATACTAGAGCTCGACTCATATTATTTACACCCCTGATTGTTATACCCCAATAAACTTCGATACCCCTCTCTATCCCCAACTCCCTCTCGAAGTACATTATTCATTTTAGAGTTACACTTTTCATCCTTGTAGTTATATATGTAATTTAGTTTATATTGTTTATTTTTTTATTTTTTATTTCACATATTTATCATATCAACATTTATAATCGTATATCAACTAAAATAAGTTAAAAAATATGTTTTTTTTAATAAATTACTCCATTAAAATCGTCTAATCAATGACTTTAAAATGAACTCAATATTGAATATTTTTAGATTTAATAATATTATTATATATCCTATACACTACAAAAATATTTTTATACTTACATTTTATACCTTTATAGTTATTACTTATTTCATATCCCTTACTTTTTCATCTTACACTTTTATTTTGTTAATGTACAAAATCATATGTCAACTAAAGTACGTTAAAAAATTACGTTTTTTTTTTGTTTTTTTTACAAATTACATCATTATAATCATTTTGTCAATATTTTAAAATGAACTTGTTGTTCCTGAATTGAATGACAATAAACAAAAATGTAACTGTATTACGAGTCTTGAAGGTGCACCCATCATGGTATTATATGTGCTACCTAAGTTACGAAACTAGAGGGGGTGCAGAGATAAATTATGAAACTAGAAAGGGTGCAGTGAACAATTATGAAACTATAGGGGGTGCAGAGAAAACTTATGAAACTAGAGGGGGTGCAGTGAACAATTATGAATTTAAACTCATGGCTTCTCTCTCATTTCAATCTGAAATCGCCACTGTCCCTCTGGACTCGTCTCTGAAATCGCCTCTGTCCCTAGACGTGGACCGCCGCTAGCTGTTCCCTCTTGTCTATCTCCGGCGCCGGCGAGGAGGTCACCTCCGACCACGAACATCTCTGAACACTACCTGTGGTGACGGCCGACGACCATAGACAAATTGTTCGATTTCAGGTTTGTTTTTGGATAGCTTTTGTTTCTTTCTTGCTTAGTTAGTTAGTTAGTTAGTTGCTTAGATTTCAAATGTTGGGTTTTATATTTCTGTAGATTAATTTGCTGATTTGGGGACATGGAGAGTTGGGTTCCAAAATTTTGATTTTATATGAAAGGTTTTCACTTGGGCCTTCATCTGCACTTGTGAATTTAACATTACTGTTATATAACTAATTAATTATGGTGCTCATTGATGCATAACATGGGGTTACATATGACCATTGAAAGCAACATTAATGCAGTTTTTCAAGTTCGATTGCTAGAAGGCTAGTCAGTACCACTTATTTGGTAGTTTTAATAGGATCATTTGGGTCAAAGTGTTATTTGAATTTCATAATTTTGGTACAAAATTTACTAGAAAATTTAACTATATTTGTTGGTCTGGTCAGAGGATGAGGATGGTGATGGTTGGTGCTGTGTTCAGACTTTAGGTGAATCTAATAGGTACTACCGGAACCATTTCGCTCGTTTATACATGATGTTTTTCCATGTTCTGGTTTACTATATATTTTGGGACGAATGGCTGCCATTGCTAGCTTTGGTCATGTAATTCCACATTCAGATTGTTTATTAGAACTAAATTCCACTGGCATTTCTTAAAGTGTATTCTACATGTCCAAATATCATGTTCAAACATTACATGTACAAATTATACGTGGTAGAATGTGAAAACATCACAATTTCTAAAATGTTCGACACCATAACTATACTAACAAAATTCTTTGTTAAGTTCATTACTTTTGAGGTTTTTTGAGGAACAGTTACGAGAAGCTTCAACATTGCTTTTGAGATTCAACCCGACCAACCCAACCCAACCTACACGAGTTGGGATGGGTTGGGTTATACCTTAAAAAAGTTTTGAACGGGTTGAGATTTTCTAATCCGAAGTAGTTGGGTTGAGTTGTTCAAACTCCCCCAACCCGGTTAACCTAGCACATGTGCACCCATACTTTCTAACAAGTGTGATATGGATAAACTATATCTTTTATTACCCATTACCAGTTATATATATATATATACACACACACACACGCACATGCATATATAATATAAAACAGATAAGAAACTTCCTATAATGCCATAAGCCATGTGCATTGTGATGATGTGAACTGTGAATTTATAGTTTTGATGGTTAAATTTTTTTATTTCAGATATTAGATAGTGGATAAGAGTAAGAGTTTCGTAACATGATAACCATCCATTATTTTTTTAAATGAATAGGGTAATAGAAGAACCCTTATCGGATCCGTACCTGCCCAATGCCTGCCATCATCCAAACTACAAAATAGATCACTGACTAAAGAAAGCAAATATGCAAGGACTTCATGTTACCCAGTTTTTTCAAAGCTTTTCATTTCTTCTGCTGCTCCAAAAACGGCTGGGGCTGATAATTTCTTTTCACAAGACACAAATTTCATAAGAAAAGTTGTTTCATGATTGGGAGTTTCTCACGGTGTAGCATGATTCCATGCCTACACTTCAGAAGAATCCACCATGGATTTTCCTTTCTCAATGTTTTGCTGCAATTCTCATATCATAGACATAGTTTGCTCTCAGCTTCTGAGTTGAAATACCCAGATGAAGATTCAAACTCTAGATCATTTCCCTCCAATACTCCATTAAACAATTCAAAAGAAACTCCCTTTGTTTCTTCAGCTGTCAACAGGGTGACAGCAAGCAATCAATGTTATGGAAAGGAATTAGATGAGGTGAAGTCACGGAACAGGATGATCACTGACTATATTCGGAGTGGTGATCTGGATTCGGCTTATAACGTGTTTGAAAACATGCCAGTTAGGACTACTGTCACGTGGAATTCGATGCTAGCTGGATATACAAAAATAGCTGGGAGAATTGAAGATGCTCGCCAACTATTTGATAACATCCCTGAACCAGATATTGTTTCGTATAACACAATGCTGAATTGTTATATGCATAACTGTGGTATCAAGTCTGCTCAGGCTTTCTTTGACCAAATGGTATTCACAGATACAGCATCTTGGAATACAATGGTATCAGGTTTCTGTCAAAATGGGATGATGGATCAAGCTTATCAATTGTTTCAAGTGATGCCTGAAAAAAATAATGTCTCATGGAATCTTATGATTTCGGGTTATGCTGGTATAGGGGATTTGATTTCTGCTGAAAAGTTGTTTAGAAATGCTCCTTCTCAATGTGTGGTTGCATGGACTGCGATGGTAACTGGTTACATGAAGTCTAGGAAGGTTGATTTGGCAGAGAAAGTATTTGATGAAATGCCTGAGAAGAATCTGGTGACATGGAATACAATGGTGTCGGGCTATGTAGAAAATGGACGAGCAGATGATGGTTTGAAACTTTTTAGGAAGATGGTTGAAACCGGGGTTAAGCCCAATCCATCAACCTTAAGCAGCGTACTACTCGGTTGTAGTAATCTATCTTCACTAAAATTAGGTAAGCAAGTACATCAATTTGTGAACAAATCTCCACTTTCTTTGCACACCATGGTGAATACTTCTTTGGTTAGCATGTACTGCAAGTGTGGGGACTTGGATGGTGCATGGAAGTTGTTTCTTGCGATTTCACATAAAGATATTGTCACTTGGAATGCTATGATTTCAGGGTACGCTCAACATGGTGCAAGCGAAAAAGCTCTTTGGTTATTCGATACTATGAAAAAAAAGGGAATGAGACCCGATTGGATCACATTCATAGGAGTTCTATCAGCTTGCAACCATGCTGGATTGGTTGATCTTGGGATTCAATACTTCGATTCGCTGCAGAAAGACTACAAGATAAAAGCCAAACCAGATCACTTCACTTGTATGGTTGATCTTCTTGGTCGAGCAGGTAAGCTTCTTGAAGCTTTAGATTTGATAAAAAGTATGCCTTTCAAGCCCCACCCAGCAATATTTGGAACCCTTTTAGGCGCTTGCAGGGTCCACAAGAACTTAGAGCTAGCTGAATTTGCCGCTAGGAATTTGCTTGATTGTGACCCTTCAAATGCAGCTGGTTATGTTCAACTTGCTAATGTTTATGCAGCCATGAGGAAATGGGACTGTGTGTCCAAAGTTAGAAGATTGATGAAAGATGATAAAGTGATTAAATTTCCAGGCTATAGTTGGATCGAAGTAAAGAGTACTGTGCATGAGTTTAGATCAGCTGATAGACTTCATCCTGAATTGGGCTTGATTCATGAAAAATTGAACCGTTTGGAGAAGAAAATGAGACTCGCAGGCTATGTCCCTGTTCTTGAATTTGCATTACATGATGTGGGTGATCAACAGAAGGAGAAGCTTTTGCTATGGCACAGTGAGAAATTGGCAATTGCTTATGGTTTACTTAGAATGCCGGCAGGGGTTCCAATTCGGGTTTTCAAGAACCTAAGGGTCTGTGGGGATTGCCATGAGGCCACAAAATTTATATCAGCTTTAGAGGGAAGGGAAATCATTGTGAGAGATAATTCAAGGTTTCATCATTTTCAGAATGGAAAATGCTCTTGTGGTGATTATTGGTGAACTTGATGTCCATGAGCATGCTGTTTTCCAGCTAAGGATAGGTTCAAGCCATTGAGCCGCCTTTCCGACCACCAAAGCTTCAAACATAGACGAATTCAACCATGGTACATGGGAGAATTTTTACCGCAGATTAAAGAAGACTGATGTTGGTCTTTGAACACGATTGGTCAAGGTATCAATGGTCCATTTGATTGCATACTAAATAAAACACATCTATTGTGACAACATTGCTCGTTGCAACAATCCGTGATTATTAGTGGCCAAAGTGTTTTAATGATGAAAAAAGGTGTCTCCAGTTTTTGATCTCTGAAGTTCATTAATTGGTGTCGAAAATCAGCAACAACAGACCCGGTTGATCTTTTGGTTGATGATGATAATGATGGCCCAAGTCAACGCATACGTAAGCTGCCTGCCTGGGGTTGCTGCTGCAGCAAGAAATCACCGGCTGGGGGTGTTAGCAGCCAAGCTTCCTGTTGCTGAGGCTGGTAAGTTTATAAGTTTACATTGTTTTTTTTGGGTAATAAGTAATGACCTGGAGTGGAGTGGTGAACTAGTAAACAAAATAAGAAAAATAAAATGATTTTCAATAGATTGAGACTTGGAACTTAAGAGCGTTTAATTGAATTGATTCTTAAAATAATGATTCATTGAAGTAAGAGTTATAAATGAGATGCATAAATTTAGATTTGGAGCCTTACATTTAATTGTTGGGGGCCTATTAATAAGTTTTTGTTAAAAAAATTTAAAACCTACCACTCATGCTTTATTTGGATGTTTCTTGGGGTTAGTTTGCTATAGTGTGCATCCGCCAATGGCAGGTTGCAACTTGGATTTTTGGTCGGTTTATGTCGATTGCCATCCTCAAACAAAATTAACCACAAGGTGGTGGCTGATTGGTTTGAGCTTAGACTCCAAAGATCAAAAGTGTCTGGAGGTCTCAGGTCGAATCCAAGGAGGAATAAAAATCCCCTTGTGGATACGGAGGTTCAAATACGGTGACTTCAAGCTACCTGCAAAACAGATGGTCACCCTGAGATTAGTCGGCTCGTATAGCGGGTTGGATATCCAGGTTAATTAAAAAAACCAAAATTGAGTTCACACCCTCTACCGGCTCATCTTCTGCATTTGTAAACACCAATGAAGCTTTCATCACACCATCTGACTTGTTCTGCGTCGACATCAACCCTTTACCTCATATATCACCCGTCGGAAAAATGTCGATATTGAAAACATATCATCTCCACCCTTACTGCTTCAATCCTCCTCGCCCCCATCCATCATTAGATTTAGATCTAGATCGTTAAGGAATCAGAAAAGCAACGATTGTGGGAACTGGCAACCTACAATAATGCTCCCTCGAAGGAGGCGTGCCATGATGGAGAACAGATTTGAAAAACATCTTCTTCGGTTGCAATTCGCTTGGGGTTTTTTTTTGTTTCCTAAAATTGTTTTTGATTTTATAGGGGTGAAATAACAAATAGAGGAAAACTGTATTTGATTTCATGAGGTGAAATAATATATCGACGGAAACTGTGTTTGATTTCATGGAGTGAAATAGATTATAGATGAAAATTGTATTTGATTTCATATGGTGAAATAACATATATAAAAATGGTGTCTGGATTTAATGAGGTGAAATAACATATAGATAAAATATTGTCATTATTAACCATATAAAAATAATAAAATTTTATTATAATTCAGTCGTTGAGTTGAGTTGAGTATGTGTTTTATTTGGTGAATCTCTGTTACCAAAATAACAATTATGTTCTATTCTAATTAAAAACAGCTTTAAATTAAAATCAGTAGAATCAAAACCAAATTAAGGGTTAGATTAATTGTCGTGATTCTGTACTTTATAGATAATTGGGTTGAAATGTGGTAAAATTGCAGATATAATTGGGTTGAAATGTGGTAAAATGGCATTGAATAAGTGGTCTCTTAAGCACTTGCAAACTTCTTCTTGGGGCTGTATATGTGAAAGCTTGTTTGCAGGAGCAATTGGGATGCAATGAAGTTGGATGAAGATCAAGTGGAGTATGTATGCATTGATGCATATGTTTCACACAACATTTTCTTTGGAAATTGATTTAAGTTTATGCATAAAATATTGTTTATTGATGTATATTACTTAAAATTCAAGATTAAAAATAAACTGTGTAAATATATCTTATTAAAGCTCCATATTTGAATTTGTGTAACTAACTGTAGATAAACATAGTCAAATACAAGATAAACATTTGATTATACTATATTAGTAATGTTACTTTAATTATAAAAGAGTAAATGATAAATTTCGTCCCTATGGTTGTTGAAAACTTTAGATTGAGTCCTTCAAACAAAATAATTATATGTATGGACAATGGTCAGTATGGTTTCATTTTTGTTACGGATTTAGTCTTTCATCCTAACTTCACTAACTGATATTCCGTTAAATCAAGGGTAATATTACCTTTTTATAAATTTCTTTTATTTATTTCAAATATGCTTATATTTGATATTGTATATATACACTTCATCCTGTACCCCACCCCCGATGATGACGATGATCTGAATGCGGAAGGTGGTGTTGTCTTCAGTTCTTCATGGTTACCAATTACCGATCACAAGTATGTTTTATTCAACTTGGATCTGAACTCGATGACCTATGGATCCTTCTCAGGCATCTGCAATCTTCTCAAAACGGGGTTTTCTTATTTTTCCTTCTTTATCACAACGTATTCAATTTTTTTCTGATCCACGTTAGGTGGTGAGGTTCTTCCGGTGCTTCCAAATTCGGAAGAAAAAACCCAGAACATACGCTCGAACATAATCAGATCCATGGTTCCAATTTGAGTTCCAAATCCAAATAACCAAATTGATGAATTTCTGGGTTTTGACATCTCGATCTTCAGAAATCAATCAACCAAAACTGCTTCATCTTCTTCAATGAAATCTCTTTATCAGCTTCAACTTTATGCTGTAATATCGTTGGAGTTGGATCGAGGGGGGAGGTTGTCGGCCGCTGTTCGATGGCCGGAGATGGGGTTGGGTCGTGAGTTTTTTCTCAGGGAAAATGGGATTAAAGAGGTAAGGGGGTATGCACTTTTTCTCGACCAAGTCCCTCGCTTACAAACCTTCCCCCGTCGGCCACGCTTACCTCCGGTCTCACAACATTTCACCATATCACCATCCTACGAGCCATTTTGAGATTGATCGCTGCATATCCCATCCTGCAAGTAGCAACATCACAAAATCATTACATCATTGCTCATAACAAGCTGTCTTAGACGCTGTTCGGTTCATTTTATGTTAAGACCTGTATGGTTATAGCTGTCTGTATTTATATAGTTGTCTGTAAGTTAACATATAAGTTGTTGTTCGGTTGTTGTAATGAATAAACAGTCTGAATGTCATAAAAAACCATTTTACCACAGTCTTTATTTTTATCTAAATAAAACAATTACATATTCTGGTCAATGTGGTATATTAAACCCAAGAAACAAAAAATTGAGAAAATATTCCACCTTTTATGACACCATTTCATTTTAGTTTTGATTTTGGTCACCAAATCAATTGGTATTAAATTTTCCTTTATCTAGGCACAGATAAACCGGTTCTTCCACTTGCAGTCAAAAGTTGAAGAAGGAGACAGTAGCCACAACTGCAAGAACCATAAATCAACACATGGGTTTTTGTCCTAATTTTATCTCATTTTCCCTGCTCCCTGCTCTGATTTGTCTTTATATCTTCGTTTATTGTGATAAGGTTCGTATTTGGTCAAGAACTTCTAGTTCAAGATTCAGATGGTGTTGGCTAGAAATCACAAAAAAAATGGGTGGATCCCAAGAGTTCATGGACATGAATGATGTTCTTCCAGAGACTCCTTGCTAAGTACATATCGAGAAGAGAGGAAATACAATCAAATAAGATGGAGCAGAAAATCGAAGAAGAATGAGAGGAAATATAGATTGAGAGGAAATACAAATAGAAGAAGATGGTGCAGAAAATCGATCAAGAACGACATACCTTGATGTGGAGAACGATGGAGTAGAAAAATTGACGAGAAGAACTGATCGATGGAGCGGCAGTAGTCGGCCAATGTAGTAGATAGGTAGAGTTTCTTTCAAATAAATGATGAATGTGAGTAATTAGGGAGATGGTTAGATGAAGAAAATAAATACAATTTAATGGCTGAGTAGATAAGAGAGTTGTTTTGTAGCTGACCGATTCAACTCTTGTCTGAGCGATTAAGCTTTTACCGAACACATAGGTATGACTATACGAATCAGCCATATCTGCTATACAACTCATTACATTTTTACCGAATAGGCCCTTACATACTTTTAGCTTATTGTCCAACTTAATTTGCTTTTGAGTTTGGACAATTTGTTCACATGTTAAATCAATTTATATGATCCGAAACTTTTGAGTTGATTATTGATATCTTTTTAAATTGAAAATGTTTTTGTATGTCCTTTTTTTCCGCATTATTGAAAATTATGTTTGATTTCATATGGTAAAATAATATATATAAAAATTATGTTTAAATTTCATGAGGTGAAATAAGATATAGATAAAACATTGTCGTTATTAACCATATAAAAATATTTTTTTATTACGATTTAGTTGGTCAGTATGTATTTTATTTAGTGAATCTTTGTGTTCTATTGTAATTAAAAACAACTTTAGATAAAAATCATTAGGATCAACATCAATTTAGGGCTTAGATTAGTTCTCGTGATTCTCAACTTGTTGCAGTTCTCATTTAATTACCGTTCTGTATATATAATATAATAAATTACATTCTTGGTCCTTGTGGTTTAAATATATATAGTATCTTATAAATCAGATTTATCAAAAGTCTTAAAAACAATTTTTAATGCACAAAGTCTTAAAAAACAACTCATAATGCATTTAAGTACAAGTTATCAATGCAAATTATTACCATTGAGTTTTAAAATCTCTTGATTTATAATTAAAATAACATATAGTACAAGTTATCAATGCAAATTATTACCATTTTATTTTCATGTTCTCAAGATATTTTTGACACATTTCACTCATGCTTTCACCCTCTCATACCTCTATGTCCTCTCCACATTTCTCAAGGTGAGATTCAAACTGATATTTACCATGAGTTATTAAAAATTCTTTCATTCATCTCGCATTCAATTGCTCTAGAACTCTCGGTCTCGGTCTCAACCTCTTGATGCTTTGCTCTAAGCGTAAATCGAATACATTTGTGGAGTCGTTTAAATATGTTAGATTTTAAATATATTTGATTTTTTTTTCTATCGATAGATTGTTATTGAAACTATAACTCTTATTTATTCAATTTGCATTAATATGTAAAGACCAAGTGTAACTTATATCATTGTTAAATCTTCTTTAATAAAATCAATGAAACTTCAAAATCATTAAAATTCACAACTCCCGCCGCATTGTACGAATCCACAACTAGTAAAATAGAGTAAGTTACATTATTTGGTCCCTTGGTTTTAATAGAAAATAAAAAATAATTAATGACTAAAATAACCATCTAATTATATATGCAGTTAAGTGTGAAGCTGGTGGTTGTGGCAATCGGGAAACCAAACTCCATTTTTATAGTTTCAAACTCATGGAAAGAAGGACCATCCATCAATTCTTGTTGGAAATCCAAAGGTTTCTTAACTCATACTACTACTACTACTACTATTCATCAGGAATACCAAAAAGATGAGACTATAAATTCACACATGAATCTGTATCATTTCTTCATTGCAAATCAACCAGTGAGCATGGCTTTTCGTAGCACCAATCTAAACATAACCTACGACTCAACCTCCTCCAAGTATCATATCAACTACGACGGCAAAACGATTGAAACCACCGTCACCAAGAAAGCTGCCATCGTTAACCGATGGGTGGACGAAATCCTCTTCCTCCATGCCAACAACCCAAAGGTGGTGGTCGGACTCGACGTCGAATGGCGGCCTAACTCAATCGCCTCCATGAACAATAAATCTGCTACCCTTCAACTCTGCATTAACACCAAATGCCTAATCCTTCAACTCTTTTACATGGATAAAATCCCAGAATCCCTCAAAAACTTTCTCCTGAATCCCAAGTTCACTTTTGTTGGAGTTGAAGTAGAGGGTGATATATGGAAGCTTCATAATGAATATGGATTGAACTGTGGTAAAAGTGCAGATATTAGGGCAATGGCAGTGAAGAAGTGGCCTTTCAGGTACTATAGGAAACCAGGGTTGAAGACACTTGCAGACGACGTCGTGGGGCTGTATATGAGTAAGCCACTGCATGTTTGCAGGAGCAATTGGGATGCAATGGAGTTGAATGAAGATCAAGTGGAGTATGCATGCATTGATGCATATGCTTCCTACAAGATTGCTCACAAGCTTCTCTATGAAACTTGATTTAAGTTTTAAGTTTATGCATATATATGGGTTTTTGTTATGTTGTTTTGCAAAATCAGTATTGGACTTTTTGAATGTTGCATATTTTTATTTAACATGTTTTCAGATAAATAAGGAGTTATATGTTCAAAAAACTTGCTTTAACAAGTAATATCGTGGGTGTCAATTTTGTAACATAACAATGCAATCAATTTATATACAATTGATTTCATGAGGTAAAATAACATATTGATGGAAATTGTATTTGATTTGATATAGTGAAATAACATATATAAAAATTATGTTTGGATTTAATGAGGTGAAATAACATAACATTGTCATTATTAATCATATAATTTTTTTTATTATGATTATGTGTTTTATTTGGTGAATCTTTGTTACTAAAATAACGATTATGTTCAGTTGTAATTAAAAACAACTTTAAATTAAAACCATTAGAATCAACATCAAATTAAGGCTTAGATTAGTTCTCGTGGTTCTCAACTTTTTACAGTTCTCATTTAATTACCGTTCTGTATATATATTTATTATATAGTAAATTACATTCTTGGTCCTTGTGGTTTAAATATAAAATAGAGTAAGGTGGCGTTTGGTTTTCATAATGTTTTTTGATGAAATAGAATATGTTAAAAAATAATTTGACTTTGAAGGAATTGGAATGAAATGTTGTCAGGTTTGGCCACCTGTTTAGTTGGCAGACATTGGAATGAAATATGTTAAGGGATTGAAATCTGTCTGTTTGGTTCACAAAATGTAGCTTTAGAATTAGAATAAAATATTGGTAAATGACGAAAATGCCTTTTTTTTTGAAAATTTTAATTTTTTTAAAACTAAAAATACTTTAATAAAATAATTATTTAATATGTAAAACAATATAAAATACACAACCCAAATATAATTATAACCCAAACGACGTTACTAAATCGACGGTGGTCGGCGGTGGTTCAGATCGGTGGTGGTCCATAGTGGTTCAGATCGATGGTGGTCTGCAGTGGTTCAGATGAAGGTGGTTAGTGGTTGTTCAGATAGGCGGTGGCGGCGGTTGTTTTTCAAATCAGTGGTGGTCGGCACTGATTCAGATCGATGGTAGTCGACGGTGGTTGGCAGTGATATAGATCGATGGTGGTCCATTGTGGTTCAGGTAACGATGGTCAGATGTGGTTAAGATAAGCGATGGATCATATCGGTGATGGTCAATGGTGTTTTAGATCGACGATGTTTCAGATCGATAGTAGTTGGCGGAGGTTCAGATCAATAGTGGTCTGTGGTGGTTCAGATGGCGATGGTCGACAGTGGTTCAGATCGGTGGTGATCCATGGTGGTTCAGATAGCGGTTATCGACAGTGGTTCAAAATTGACAGTGAATCAGATCAATGGTGGCTCAGATCGACGGTGCTTTAGATCGGTGGTGGTCCATGGTGGTTCAGATGGCGTTTATCGGCGGTGGTTCAGATTGACGGTGAATCATATCAGCGGTGGCTCAGATCGGTGGTGGTCAGCGGTGGTTCAGATTGGTGGTAGTCGGTGGTGGTGGTCGGCGGTGGTTCAGATAAAAGGTAGTCGACGGTGGTTCAGACCGGTGGTAGTCGGTGGTGGTGGTTCAGATGAATAGTGGTCGAGAGGTGGTCGACGATGGCCATATTGAGTTTTACGAGATTAAAGTATATTAGGTTAAGGGTATATTTGGTATAATGAAGATAGAGATTGCATTCCATCAAAATACCATGTAGTTGCTATGGAATGTAAAATTCATTTATTTGTAGAATTTTGAATATTCCTTTCATGAAAAAGAATGAAGCAAACGAATGAATAAATTTGGTCTAAGGGAATTCAATATTCCAATTCCAATTCCAATTCCAATTCCAATTCCATCAAATTTTTCCGGAACCAAACGTGAGTTAAGTTATATTATTTGGTTTGAATAGAAATTAAAAAATAATTAATGAATAAAATGGCTCTCTGATTAATTATGCAATGCAGTTAAGTGTGAGGTGAAGCTGGTAATTGACTTGTGGCAATTGGGAAACCAAACTACAATTTTCAAGTTTCAAACTCATGAAAAGAAGGACCATCCATCAATAATCAATTCTTGTTGGAAATCCAAACTACTACTCATCAGGAAGGAATACCCAAAGATGATACTATAAATTCACACATGAATCTGTATCATCTCATTTTAAAATCAGAACGTGTGATTAAATGGAAATCCACACACAGGAGGAAAACAGTTGTTTCACAACTGAAAGCTGGGGTTAAAATCGAACCCGATGAAACCCCCAAATTTTTTGAATACTGCACCAAAGTAGAACCAACTTCGGTTTTATTCCTATTCTATAAGGTATATATATACCAAACCTTTTACATAATTGTAGGGTCTGGTATATCAAGACTTTTGGCAGACTTGCTTCATTTCCGTGTTGCAAACACTTTATCCCTAATTGCACAAACCATTGGGTTCTCCAACTGCAAAAAGGCTCCAACGAAATTTGACAGCACGGTCAATGTAAAGTTAACCAACCGCCTCTCTTTTCGGTATGACCTGAGTGCATCCTCAACAGCCGCTGGTCCAGCCTTGAGTGTCGGCGCAAGCTTTTGCACTAAAACATGAGAATCTTCCAAAGCACAGCAAGCCCCTCGGCCCATATTAGGAGTCATTGGGTGCCATGCATCGCCAACCAGCACGGCTCCACCCAATGAGCCCGAAGGGCTCAGTCCTGGCCATGACCACCGGTCGACTATTGGGGTTTGGATCACAGTGTCGTCTGGAGTGGCATCAATTACATTCAGCAACTCAGAGGGCCATTTCTTGAATAGTTCCTTGGTTTGTTTCTTCAATACTGATGGATCAGTAAACTTTGGACCTGCCACCTTACATTCAAACAACTGTTGGAAAAACAATCTTTTCAATGGATTAATCTGTGAAAAGACTAGATCACCACGACGACGTACCTGGTGTGGGGCTGTTGAAGCAAACAAACCAATAAACTTTTGTTGGTGAAACCGGAACATAAGCAGCCCGCATACCTCGGCCAAAAACATAGTTCACGCATGACTCATAAGGTTGTCCATCAGGGTAATCTCCAAGTCCACGAACAACACAATATCCCACATATTTAGGCTCCGGAAATCCCATCCATTTGGCGACTGGAGAATGAATTCCATCACACCCAATTACCACCTGTTGATCAAAAGGCCAATTCTTGCTTCACCAAAACTTTTCAACAAGAAATCTATGGTTCCTAAGGGACCTGTTGATCAAAATGCCAATTCTTGCTTCACCAAAACATGTCAACAAGAAATCTATGGTTCCTAAAGGCCCTAAGTTCGAACCCACAACTGAACTGTTCGAAACGAAAAGCTACCTTGGATGATATTCGAGTACCGTTAACAAGTTCCAGCAGAGTTTCACCATCTTCTTGCTTTTCAATCGTTGCCAACTTTGAAGAGAAAGAGATGAAATCTGGTGGTAGCTTTTTGGCAAGAGTCTCCAGAAGGGTTCTTCTTTCAACTGGGCGAATCTCTCGACTGTTTCCAAATACACGTGATTTACAAAAATCCCAGCATAAATATGAACAGAAATGATACCATTTATACGTACTTTTGATCCTCTCTCAGCTTCATTGAGCGTAGTTGTCTTCCATTTTCTGTTTCTATAACCACCCTGCAAATTATTTACATTCTAATAAACTCTCAAATCCTCATAAAAATCCCATTATGTATGCCGGCCCGTTTCTGACATTTTTTAGGCAATATATTTTTTCAATGTATTGTTTTTATCATCAGAAATAACATTAAATTTATATAAAACCGTTTTTTCGAGTATTCCTGGACACGGAATCAATCAATAGTCATTTCTAAATTAATATTATCTACTAGAACATTTTTATGTAGTATCAGTAATTTGTTTCATCATCAAAAACATCATATGATATACTTTTGGTACATAGAATGATATCATTTGGAGTCACGAAGTCGATTTTTCTGATTTCCGAGTGTCACTATGTAGATCAATGTAAATAGGTTGGTTTTCCATGTCATCTGATGTTAATGTTTTTTAACATCATTTTAAACTTTTATATTATGTTTTCGAATTTGAGAAGATTAACACCGTTTTAAACATTTACATTATGTTTTTGAATTTGGGAAGATTAACATAATTTTAAACTTTTATGCTATGTTTTCAAATTTGGGAAGGAAAGAAAGAATGAGAAAAGAAAAGAAAAATAAAAGGAAAGAAGAAAAATAAAGTTTTTTGTTTGTGTTTTTAATAGAGAAGAAAGAAAAATAATAAAATAAAAATAAATTTTGATATAATTTTTTTCTTTCCTTTTCTTCTCCCTTCTCTGAAAAAATCTCGAGAACAGAATATTTTCCTTCCCCCGTTACTTTTTTCTACGTAAAAGACGACTCAAGAACATAGAGTTAGGGTTAAAATAAACTTTTCTTGAATCTTCAATTATATAAATTAAAAAACTCATGTTGGTGATAGTTTGAGATCTTATTCTTCTTTTAGAAATAGAATAGTACATAAGATTTATACACTAAATATTAGATAATAAAGAACAACCATGAAAAAACAATTATAGTTTTATTATTCTAAATATAGATATAAGTTGTACCGTCTTATATAGTTGGTAATAATTTATGCGAGAATGGAACAATCAAAAGAGTTGATGAAAGATAAATTATGGAAAATATATCAAAGTTTTCGAAGCAAGTAGTTTTAGACGTCGGTTTTAGATTAAAAAACTTAAAAAAACATTAAATAATATTATATAATGAACAACAAATTAACATCTTTATGAATTTTTTTCTCCAATATATTTAATTCATATATGTTTGGGTCTTTAATAGTTAATGTAGTACAAAAATATTTTCTTGTCATATTAGATACTAATTTTTTAAGTGTCTTTTATTTACTAATTTTTTTAACTACTATTTTATATATATATATAAAATTGGGTCCATGTATGTTGTAAATAGGACAAACAATCAATTTTTAAAGTTACTGGTAGTAATAAAACTTCAAACAATCAACCTTTTGACATTTCAAATCGAATAATCAAATCGAGATCTCGAAAAGGGAGAACGACGTTACCCTTTAATGTCAAGGTATTGGGATCTGAGTTCATCGCCAACTCCCATTGAATCCAATACCTTCCATCCATTCGTGGATAGAGTAAAAGACGCTCCTCCAGTCCGCAACGACTCCGCCTGCTCCAGCACCACCGATCGAACCCCCAATCTTAACACAAACAAACCCTAACAACATGATCAATAAAAGTAAACTAAATTTTCGACTGAGACGAAACTCGAAAAGTAACCTGTGCAGGGAAACTGCGGTGGCGAGGCCGGCGATTCCAGCTCCGACGATGACTATTTCTTCCTTCCGGATATTGTATGCATCACTGAAGATTGTTCTCTGTTGACGAAGAGACGAAGAGTAAAGGGGTAAGAAAGATGAAGAAAATTTCGCCATTGCTGTGAGGTGTTTCACAGAAGAAAACATCATCTTTGTGTGTGTTTTGACCCCGGGAAATTCTTTGACTCGAATTTAAGCCGATTCCCATCTTACAAACTCATCCAAAAAACAATTAATTAAAAAGATTTATAAAATACAAGAAAGATATTTGTGTAATGTAATGATACCAGATACGTCTTCAGTTAATGTTTTGTTTTATTTTTTTTGTCTTTTGATATAATACATTTTATGTGGTTTTGACAAATATAATGTTTTTACTTTTAAATAAAAATATTTTTGAATATATCATAAAAATTTAAAAAATATATCGATATTAATATCAAATTAACTATTTAAAAGTTCTTGTTTTTCGTACAATTTTGTTATTTCATATTTTTATTATAATTTATTTTAGGTCTAATAGCGAATTTATTTTTGCTTTAACAATATAATTTTTATAAAGATAATAATTCTGTTAGAACTCAAGGATTATTCTAATTATATTTTAAACTTTTTGTATTGAAAATAAGATGTTTATCATTATTTGATTATATGTTTATATGTAGTTAGTTATACAAATTCAAAATAAAGCTTTAATAAGTTGTATATATGCATAAATTACTTGTAATCTAAAATTTTAAATACTATGTATTAATAAAAAAATTATAAAATCACAATTGGAAGGGAGTTAGGTGCCGTTTACCAAACGTTTATCCGGGTAAGCGCTTACCAAGTCACTTTACTTTATCGGATGAATATGGCAAGGACTAAAAATCTTACACGGTAAGAGCGAATGCAAGAATCAAGAGTTCTTACCCGATAAGTGAGAACAATGACTCTTACCATGGTTAGCGCTTACCGAGATTAATTGTTGCATAGAATGCGTTTTAGTGAACAAAATTTTATCCGATAAGTAAGCGATAGTGTTGAATTTTACCGATAAGTGCTTACCGGGTAAGTGTTTAGGTAAGCGACCCTTTAGTAAATGAATCTGGGTCTTAATTAAAGAAATGGAGGTGATCGAATGAAATTTGAGGGCCACCTTTGACTTTTTTAAATTTCAAAATTACACATTGTAAGTTTTTTTTTAAAAAAATTTATAAGAGTAGACTACGTTAGATTTCATAAATTTCAACAGATTAGTTTGATTCGAATTTGATTTGAACTTCAAATGAACTTAAGTTTAGAAAATAGTTGTCAAGTTTAAGTCGAGTTTAGATTTTAACTATTCATGGGTTTTTGAGTTGAGTTCAAGCCTGAAAAATAGCTATCGAATTCGAGTTGAGTATATCAACACGTGACCTCGACTCACATCATTTACACCTATAGTTGCCACATCCACCACTATCATATACGCTAGAGATGCACAAAAAAGCCTAAGTTTGAAGCCCAACTAAGATAGGCCCGGAAAAGCTCATTCCTAGTGAACCCAAAGCTCAATCGAGGCCAGGCCAAAATTGGCGGTAGACTAAGTTGAAAAATCTAGCTTGAAAAATCGATTAGACCTGAAAAAATCCAACCTGGAAATGTCTGATCGGGATCTTTTTCAACAACAAAGCCTACCCAGTCCGAACCTTTTTCTTTACCTCATTGAAAACGGGTTTGAAAGTTTGGCCCCAAGCCTAAAAAGTGTGGGCTTTATGCATCTCTAGCAGTTGCCAGTCTACAACAACTACTAATTAATATTATAATTATATGGTATTTAGATCATTTAATATTATTTCATTCAAATTTCAAGTCATATTCTATCAACCAAACATACATATTCCAAATATTTTGAGAGATTTCATGAAATTAGTGTCAACCAAACATATGGTCAAACTTCATTGATTCTATTTCAATTCCTTTCGGGATGCCAAATCCACCAAAATCCATTTTGTAAACCAAATGCTGAAATGCCTCCCAAAATATTATAGATAGAGTTTCATCAGAGCTTCGTAAAGCTAATGTTTGGCAAACTAGTAAATAAGATAGTTGCTGGACTAATTACGTTTAGTAAAAACTTGTTGAAAAATGTAAAATGACAGAAAAGACCTATTAAAAATTAAGTCAATTTTAACATTTCATAATATATTTAAAACAAATCAGTAATAGTATAATATGTTAATTAATAAAAACTTGATGGTAAATTAATTATATAATATAGTATGTTAATTAATAGAATTTCAATTTGATTTATTATACAAATATGGATTTGTATAATCAAATACGGATTTTATAAAATATCTAATTAACTGATAATTTTAAATAACCGTTACATACAATATGAATAAAACAAAGTTGGTCAACCTTACATATGTCAATTAATTAATAATTTATCAAAAAAATAATAATAAATATTAAACATTATACTAAAATATTTATCAAATTCTTATTATTTATGAAATAAAATAAATATAACTTTAACTTTTATGTAATTTGTAAAAACATTTTTAAATTATTATATTTGCATTTTAACGATTAAATATGTTGAATAATAATAAAAGTAATAATAATAATTTAAAGATAATTGATAAGATTAATAATAATTTAAAATGATTAATATTAATGAATCATTTACAATTTAAGTTAATTAATAATTTGATATTAAAATTTATTAAGGAAAAATTAGATTAAAATAGAACTAATTTTGACCTAATTTGTATTTTGGAGAACCGGCTTTTAGAATTATTATTTTAGGATTTAAAACAAACTTTTCATTTATTTAAGGATCTCGATTACCTATTAAGCAGGTAACCGGTTACCTTTAGATGATGTGGCAAAAAAGAAAAAATAGAAAAGTTTACGTAGATACTTAAAAAGCCACGCTATATATTTAGAATTACGTGTCATTATTAAGTTAAAAGAATAAAACGACAATAAACTTGAAAAATATGAGGGAAATATAAAAATCAAATAAACTCTACTTCCGACCTCCCTTCTCACATCTCCGCCTACAACATGAGCATCCACCTTTTTGTTTATTTGTGTCGTATATACAGCACCCACTTCATCGTCATCCTCCAGCATCTCTAATTGTTTGAACTGCTGAGAAGGGTCATCGGATTTCGTTGACAATTTGAAGAAAACCCTCGTTTTTTGTATTTCGTTTGTTTTTCTATTTCGGTCTTGAGCTTTAGTAGTTTATAAGGGTCATCGGATTTTGTTTGTTTTTCTATTTAAATAAATGATTGACAACATAAGGCAGTTTATGGTTGTTTAAAGGCACCGTCAAGTGGAGTCATATGCCCCTCCGTGAAGGGCAATTCAGTTAGTGAACTATGAGACAAATCTTGTCTCTCGATCTATGTTTTATCCAACAACTTGCATTAAATACGATTTTAATTAAAATGGTTAATTAAGGTGAATAGGAATAAAAATGATTGTTATTTTTTAATCTTCAACACGTGTTTATGGGGGTGTTTGAGATTGCTTATAAAAACAACTTATTCCGGTGTGACACCGGTAATAAGCACTTTTGAATGTTTGGATAAACAACTTATACTCGTGCCAAACCGGTAATAAAGAATTTTTAAAGAAGTTAAATCTTTTTGACTTATAATAAGTTGATAAGTACTTTTGTAGAAAATCACAAGTTGTTTCAAATAAGCAATCCCAAATACCCCCTAACTATTTAAAGTTTTCTTTTATTTTTTCAATTAAAAACTTTTACCCGCTTAAATTTTAAATTAAATTATCTAAAAAATTATTAATATTTTAATCAAAGAAGTTACGTTAAAAAAAATGAAATTTCAAGCTCTTTGATATGACATCCATCTCAATATAATTTTTTTTTTGATTTAATCGTATTTTACGTGAAATGATATGTATGTGTAATATTCATTATAGATATTTGTGTACGTTCATGTGTATACAACAGCTCGACATCGTAAATCCGTAATTGAACATCACATTCTTCAACACCGTAAATCTATAACCTGACAACACCTTCAATGTCGTAAATTTGTAACCTGACATTGTGTTCTTCATCAACGTGACCTAACACCCATCGAGATCAATCGAGATTAATCGAGAACCCATCCATTGACCTAATGTGTGGTTGTGTGTGTAAAACCATAGCCTGCCACCTTTATGTTCCATCGGGACCGACGGAGAACCCATCAGTTGGTTTATTTTGTGTTTGTGTGTGTAAAATCATAACTTAACACTTTCATCTTCTATCAATACCGATCGGGAACCCATTGAGACCAATCGAGAACCCAATAAAGAAAAGTAGAGCATGTTGTGTTGAAACTATAGTATATTCATGATGAAAAGTATGTATATGCATGATGAATATTATAGTAATAATTAATATTCATAATGGATATCATACTGATATGAATACTGGAAAGTTGTATACACGTCAAATAGATTGAATCAATTCAGTTTTATTAGATCTTAACTGATTAATTCGAATATGGTAATTTTGGATCTTTCAATCAGTCGGTTACAATTGGATCGATTAGTTCTAACCAAGACGAATTTAGAATTTATACCCTTAAACTCATAATTTTTTTAAAAGGATACGTATTTTACAACATGTGTTTTCCAAATAGTAAAACCCATAAATTTGATTGTCGTTATAACTTATACCTGTTTGTTAAACCTTATTTTGCAGCAGGGGATCGCATTCAAAGTTGGTATGCTCCAACATCGGTCCAAGCTTGATGAGTTTAGGAACAAGCACATTGTCCCTAATTGCACAAACCACCGGGTTCTCCCACTGCAAAATGGCTCCAACGACATTAGCCCGCACGGTCATTGGAAAGATTCGTAGCCATCGCTCGTTTTGGTATGACCTGAGTGCATCCTCAATGAAGGTTGGTCCAGCCTTGAGTGCAGGCACCAGCTTTTGCACTAAAACAACAGCATCTTCCAAAGCACAGCAAGCCCCTTGGCCAAGATTAGGAGTCATTGGGTGCCATGCATCACCAACCAGCACGGCTCCACCCGAGGACACCGGAGGGCTCAGACCTGGCCACAACCACCGGTCGACCAGGGGGGTCCGGATGATGGTGTCGTCTGGGGTGGCATTGATTATGTTTAGCAGCTCAGAGGGCCATTTCTTGATCAGTTCCTTGGTTTGTTTCTTCAACACTGACGGATCAGTAATCTTTGGACCTGCCATTTTAGATTTAGACAAAGTGTTAGAAAAAAGAGTCTTTTCAGTGGACGAATCTGTCACAGAAGGTTATAATTGGTCAGCTCATTTCCGACGAGCTGATCCCTTGGAATTGCCTTTGTTCTCTTGTACTATCTAAAATATAATGCAAACAGATGAAATCCATAGTGTATGTGAGAATATGTGTAACACAATTATATTACTCTCATAACGATCCCTTGAAGAGATGAGGGAAGTTCCAACATACATCGACTAGAAATGGTGATCTGGAACCCTCACGAAGGCTAGATGGGCACAAATTGTCTCGAGAGTCTTGAATGGGGGCAAGACGAGTACAGACTGCCCCATAGTGTCGAGTCCCTAGAGTGATAGACCTTGACTCTAATACCATGTGAGAATACATAGGACCCATTAAATTACTCTCTAAAAGAGCCTTTGAGGAGATAAAGGGAGGTTTCATCATATATTGAGGGAGAAATGATCCAAGTCTAGCCACCGGGACTGTTAAGTGTAGAAAGACTTGATTGCCCTTTTTATTAGGATGACATACCTGGTGTAGGGCTGTTGAAGCAAACGAACCAATAAACTTTTGTTGGTGAAACCGGAACATAACCAGCACGTATACCTCGGCCATAAACATAGCTCACCTGTGACTCATAAGGTTGTCCATCAGGGTAATCTCCAAGCCCACGAAAAGCACAATATCCTACATATTTAGGCTCCGGAAATCCCATCCATTTAGCCACTGGAGAACGAATTCCATCACACCCAATTACCACCTGTTGATAAAACGTTGATCAAAACGCTGATTCTTGCTTCACCTAAACTTTTCAACAAGAAATATTTGGCTCCTAAAGGCCCTAAGTTTGAACCTAGAACTGCATTGTTCGAAACTAAAAGCTACCTTGGATGATATGCGACTACCATTATCAAGTTCCAGCAGAGTTTCACCGTCTTCTTGTTTTTCAATATTTGCCAGTTTTGATGAGAAAGAGATGGAATCTAGTGGTAGCTGTTTGGCAAGAGTCTCCAGAAGGGTTCTTCTTTCAACTGCGCGAACCTCTTGACTGTTCCCATATGCACCAAACACACATTTTGTTGACTAAAAACCAAAATCCCGGAGCTCATAAGGACATGGATATGTATAGAAATGCTACTATATATATGTACTTTTGATCTTCTTCTTTGAAGTTGAATGATCGCAGCTCTCTTCCATTTTCTGTTTTTATAACCATCCTGCATGGTTGATTTGACGAAAACGGTCAAATAAAAAGACAGCAAGTCGGGGCCGTTCCTGGAACGGCCGGGCTGGTTGGCCACCTACCCTGGGCCTAAAAATAGGTGCCCATAAAAATTTTAGTATATAGCAGCATTCCGGAAAAGTAGATAAAAGAGGCCCAATTTTTTTTATACACAACAGAAACGTAAAAAGAACTTAGCAGACAACAGAAGCCTATAAAATGTATTAGTTGACTATATTGGTGTCCGTTAATTCAATCACACTATTAGGACCCTTCGTTTTTGCTATTGCTTGATTGCTTCTTTAACACCCATGTTAATGACAGTGATTTAAAAAAATTGCATTGAATGGTTAAGAAGTAAAGAGTTTACTTCATGTATATACCAAATGTGAGATGAAATCAACCCTCAAGTGAGATGCCATAGTCTTAACGTTCCTTCATCATGTCTTGATGAAACAATTGATGATTGCTATGGGATAAAATTGATAATCAATCCCATATCTCATTTTTGAAATTATGGATTTCTTGGTCTTATACTAACCACAACAAAGAATATAAAACTTTTACCTTTTGAGTGTTGTGTGTAGAAAATTGATCTTCTTGAAGAGATAAAGATGACATGATATTGAAATACACAGGAGCTAATTGGGTCTCTATGTAACATCCCATTTTAAGGGATTAATTTAGATGTGGGGGGGGGGGGGTGTGTGTACATATATAGAGTGAGGTTATGGGGAAACCCCAAAAGAATGAAAAACCAAGGAACTCCCTCATAACCATTCATTTATATGATATGCATATGTGCATACAAGTAATCAAAGACGTTTCCTAGTTTTAATGCACGTGTGCATGTTATGCACATGGACATACCAGACAAATTACTTGTACAAGTGCATACCGTGCAAATAAATGGTTACTAAGGTATTCCCTCAGTTTCTCATTTTTCTCGGTTTCCCCTCAACCAGACTATATATATATATATATATATATATATATATATATAGACATATACATATACATATATATATATATATATATATGAATTAATCCCATAAAATGGGATATTACATTTTGTATTAGGTAGTTCAAGAATATGCAATTAATACCAAACAAATAGATGTATGGTGTACTTACCCCGTCATATAGAATACCTTGGGAATTATACCTTATGGTAGTTTTAAGGTGTCTAGGAATGTTCATACTTTTGGGAATAAACTAAGTCCCCAAACTTTGTTGAAAAAATGTAAGTTATAGATATGTATATATATAATATATTGGTAAGTCATGTTCTTGGGGCGGCAATGTGGGGGTGGGGAAGTAGGATTTGGGATGCCAACGGCTTGCTATGATGTGGTAGGTGAATAAGCTTGGTGATATGATGGTGGGGATATGGATAAATGGCACGGAAAGAAGTTAGGACCGAACGAAAATTCAATTTTGGTTTGTGGCCTCGAAACTGATTTGTGGACTAGTGATGTGGGCCACACTTGTAATATATTTCGAAACCAAATTTTGTGGACTAGTCAATTTGTGGAACTTTCAGACTATTTCTGTTAAATTTATTCAAGAAGCAATCAAACTACAATGCTATAAGAATATTTCTACAATGACCACACTTTCCTCTCTCCCGTACTTCAAAACGATGTCAAAAATATCTTGAATTGAGGGGAAGAACAATAGGGACCGTATGTATAGGGCTAAAGGATTTTTTTATGTTTATTTATATTGTTTTTATTTGTTTCATTATCGAGGATTTCCTTTACAATCAGGGACTTAGGATAAGTTTGTTTATTAATAGCTAGTAATGATGTTTTAGATAATATTGATCAAGATACTAATACTAATGATTTTACGTCTAGGAATGCTCGAAGAATTGTTTTCAATGAATTATTGGTATTTTTTTGTATTCAAATTTTATTTTTTTATATAAAAAACATTTGTTTAAGATGTTACGTACTTGTTGGGGCCTTTCTAACACCTTGGCCTATAAAAAGTCAGGCACCAGCCTGCACCATGTCTTCACTGCATCAAGTGTCGTATCATGTGTTCAGGTGAGATTAGTGTCTCTTTGATCTTTGGATTTTTGGCAATACATGCCATTTCTTCTATATCATCATGTTCATGTGTAAAATTTTCTTCAATAATAATCTAACATCTAAAATATTCTCTACTATAACTTGGAGAAATCTTGTGAAACGGTAATAATGAGTAGGATGGACAATTAGGTTTACTTTAGATTGGAAATTTATCCAAGACGTTAAAAGTAAAGATTGTGGTAACTTCTATTGGACTAAGAGAGTATGAAACATTTTGAATCATATTTGCCTACTTAAAGGGTCCAATAAAAGAAAAGAAAAACATAAACATGTTACTTCTTGAATTTGAATCAGACATAGATTTATAAGTTCCTTTTAACTTCAAGATGTTTCTATCTATCGATAGGGATTTAGTCTAGCAGGTAATAAGATAGACATCTTTGCAGAATAAGTGGGAGAGCCACCAACCTGCCCCTAGGACACGCAATTTACCTCCCCAATGATGACTGGGAGACCATTATGACAGGGGCCCTACCTTTTTTACAGAAAGACGTTTCTTTTGATTTTGTAATCCCGATATGTTTCAAGTCAGTTAGCTGAATGAGTCTTCATTTATTTTTTATTCCCTAGTCCTAGTCCTTAGCTGGTTGTTGACAGTGGCTTGAAAGTAGGACCTTTAGCTATTAGTATAAGTAAGCTAGTTGTAATATACTATGATGCAGAGAGTTCATTCGTACTTTGCTCTTCATTTGTTGCGATAAAGACTTCAATTCTTGAGTCTCTTCATCTGTTCTTCTCTTATTTACTAGTTTCTTGTCCTTATTTTTGTGAGTTACAACAATGATATCAAAACCATGAACGGTCAAATTCAGGTTTCAGTTCCTGTTTTGACAGGGAAATATTATGATTGCTGGGCAGATGAGGGTGCTTTTTGACTACCATGAACTGCTAAGCCTGGTGGAGGATGAGATTCCAAGTGTTTCGGGAACATCACAAAAGCATATGAACCGTTCATGCTAACGAGAAGGACAAGAAGGCCTTGTATCTCATTCATCAGGGGGTGAATGATGAGATACTTTAGAAGATTGCAGATGCAACTACATCGAAGAAAGCTTGGGATACCTTGCTGATGTCATTCAAAGGTTCGGATAAAGTTAAGAAGGTATGACTCCAAACCTTAAGACACCAATGCGAACTCTTACAATGGAACCCCCCGAAAGCATTTCCGAGAAGCTTGGGATACCTTGCTGACGTCACTCAATGGTGCAGAAAAGTTAAGAAGGTACAATTCCAAACCTTAAGACACCAATACGAAATCTTACAAATGGAACCCTCCGAAAGTGTTTCCAATTGTGTAAATCGACTTCTCTCCCTGATAAACCAAATGAATATCAATGAAGAGAAATGTTCTGAGCAATCAAAAGTTCAAAAGGTACTCGAGGTTACTGGCGCCCGTTTGAGATATCATGGTTGCAATAGAAGAGACTCATGATGTGTCTACAATGACAATCGATGAGTTAACAAGGACATTACAAGCCCATGAGCAGCGTATCATTGAGAAGCAGGTTGAAAGCCTATTGAACAGGCTTTTCAAAATCAACTATCCACAGGAGTTAAATGCAGTAGTAAACTGAACGCAAGACGAGATAATTCTCGAGGAAGAGGACCAGGACGAGGCTGTACGAACAACAGAGGGCGTGGATGCGGGAGTCGGTATGACTCTCAGATGAGAGGACATATCACATGACCGTCCACAACAAAACTCGAGAAGTCAAGGTCGACAATGTGGCACGGGGAGGTATGACAAGTCCAATGTGAAGTGTTATTCTTGTGCTAATGAGTGCAGTTACAGAGAACCAAAGGGCTCAATTTGTCAATGAAGTGATGATGAAGAAGGTCATGCTCCTTAATGGTTATGGCGGTCAATGCAACACCATACCTGATTTCTTGCCACCGGCTGTACAAATCATATGTGTGGCAAAAGTGAGTTGTTTATTAAAGGATTTGGTCAACTTTCATCCTTATTTAAAATATTTTCCCCATAATTCTCTCCTCAATCACAGCTCATTCACAGCTTCACCTTTCCTTTTATTCTTCTCTTTTCCATGTATAGGTTGTGTCCTCCTGTATTTATTTGTATTTCTTGTATCCTCGTTTAGCATTCGAATCAATCAAAATACTTAGAACCATCAAATTTTAGATGGTATCAGAGCAGGATAGAAACCCTCTCTAAACCATATCTGCAGCTACAATGTCTACCGAAAAGAATCAGAAAGATGGAGGTGATGGGAGTGCATCAGATCCAAGTTCTTATTATGTACATGCCTCGGACTACTCTAAACAGATGTACGTCAATGACGCGCTCATAGACAACAACTATGGAGATTGGTCACAAGAAATGATGAACTTCCTATTTGCTAAAAAACAAAATAGGGTTCATCGATGGCTCGATCAAGAAGCCCCAGAAGACGTCGCTGAACCACATGGCGTGGATGCGGTGTGACGCCATCATAAAGGGATGGCTTACTACGGCTATGGAGAAGAATATCCGAAACAGTGTAAAATATGCAAGCACGGCATTGGAGATATGGAATGACCTTCTTAAAAGGTTCGGCAAAGAGATGCGCCTAGGGCGTACGAACTGAAACAACAAATTGCCACTACCCGACAAGATGGAACTTCCGTATATGCGTATTACACCAAGCTTTACAATGGGATGTCGTTGGATTTTCACTGTAAAACACAAGCCGGATGGAACCGTTGAAAGATACAAAGTCCGGTTAGTAGCCAAAGGGTACACTCAGACATATGGGATTGATTACTCCGAGACCTTTTCTCCGGTGGCCAAAATTGACACGATTAGGGTTCTCTTCTCAATAGCTGCAAATGAAGGATGGCCACTACATCAGTTTGACGTGAAAAATGCTTTCCTAAATGGAGTGCTTAAAGAAGAAGCCTATATGGAAGCTCCTCCTGGATTCACGGGAAACTTTAAACCTGGGGAAGTTTGTCATCTGAAGAAATCACTCTATGGATTGAAACAATCCCCCCGAGCTTGGTTTGGCAGGTTCACTTTGGCTATGAAGAGATATGGGTTTAAACAGAGTAATTCAGATCATACTCTGTTTATCAAACGAAAAGACAAACTCATAACCTGCTTAATTATCTATGTTGATGATATGAAAATTACACGGAACGATGAAGAAGAAATGACAAAACTAAAGACAAACTTGTTCACGGAATTCGAAATGAAAGACTTGGGCAGACTTAAATACTTCCTTGGCATTGAAGTACTAAGGTCAAAACAGGGGATTTTCATTTGCCAGAAAAAATATATCCTTAACTTGTTGGCAGGATGATCGATTGCAAACCCACGGATACTCCTATGATTGTAAATCAAAAACTTCATATGAAAGAAGGAGCGGAGTTGGCAGACAAAGGGAGATACCAACGGATGGTGGAAAAGTTGATTTATCTTTCACATACCCGTCCAGATATTGCCTACGGTGTAGGGGTAGTAAGCCAATTCATGCATCAACCTCAAGTCGCTCATATGGAAGCAGTGTGGAGGATCATTATATATCTCAAGGGAACGTCTGGTCATGGAGTTCTATTCAAATCAAATAGGCATTTAAAAACTCAAGTATATACGGATGCAGATTGGGCAGAAGATAAAGGAAATCGAAGATCGACATCCGGTTACTTCACTCTAGTCGGTGGGAATCTTGTCAAATGGAGAAGCAAAAAACAGAAGGTGGTAGCTCTTTCAAGCGCTGAAGCATAATTCAGAGGGATAGCACGGGGATTAGCAAAATTTTATGGATTCGAAAACTGTTGAAAGAGGTTGGTTTCTCCCCTAAAGAAACTAGCAAAATCATGTGCGATAATGAAGCCACCATCCAAATATCAGAAAACCTAGTTCAACATGATCGAACAAAACATGTAGAAGTGGACAGACACTTCATTAAAGAAAAAATGGAAGCAAAGATCATTGAATTACCATTTGTTCGATCAGAAGACCAGTTGGCCAACATTATGAGAAAAGCGGTTAACGGGAGAATCTTCAGCAATTGTTTGGTCAAGTTGAATTTTGGAAATCCCACTATTCAACTTGAGGGGGAGTGTTATAAAAGAAAAAAAATTATGATTGAGGAATTCATGGGATCAGCCAATGGTCAGCATCCTTTCCCAGAATTCAGTGATCAATCAACGATCTATTCTCCTCATTTACAGCTCCTTGACAGCCCTGTATTTCCTTTTATTTCTCTGTTGTAGTGCCTATTAATAAAGGCCTTTCTTTTCATTGTAAAACACAAAAAAAATTAATACAAGACACAGCCCTCTGATTATCAATTTTAACAATACTACCTTGGGTAGAAGTAGTTCAGATCGAAGATGGGATTTTTATTTCCCAAAAGAAGTATGCTACACATCTCTTACAGAAGTTCCATATGTTTAAATGCAATCCTCTAAGAACTCCGACCAAAGTTAGAACAAAGTCACTGAAGAATGATGAAGGGGCACCTGTTGAATCAACGCTTTGTAAACAAATTGTTGGGAGCCAGTGGTATCTAACATGCACGAGACATCTCTTACGGAGTTGATTTGATTAGTAGATTTATGGAGTCTCCTCCACAACCTCATATGCAAGTTGCCAAGAGAATCATGTGATATCTAAAGGGCACCTCTGATCACGATCACGATCACGATCTGTTTATGGTTCGACTAACCGTTGTGCTCTTACAGGATACTCTGACAGTGATTGGGAAGGAGATTTAGATGATTGTGAAAGCACATCTGGCTACTGTTTCAACTTTGGAAAAACAACTCGTTCGTCGTCCTCGAAAAAGCAGTCAATTGTTGCACTTTCAACATGTGAAGCAGAGTATATTGCGACAGCCTCAAGTGCATGTCAAGCAATCTGGTTGTGTCAGTTGATGAATCAGATTTCTATGCAACAATGGAGCCTATCTTCTATGTTGATAATGTTTCAGCAATCAGCCTAGCCAAGAACCCGGTGGTACACGGAAGGAGTAAGTTGCCAAAAAGGAGATAATGGTGGAGTACTGCAAGTCAGAAGATCAAGTTGCAGACATTGAAGTACGATGTCTTCATCAAGCTGAGACATACAATAGGAATGACTAATCTGGATTAAAGCATGTTTTTTTTTACCGACGCACAAAGAAAATATTTTGTTGCGAATGAACAAGGGAGGATGTTGATTTGTAATCCAGATTTGTTTTAAGTCAGTTAGTTGAATGAGTCTTCATTTATTTTTTTATTCCCTAGTCTTAGGCTTTTGGTTGTTGGTAGTGGCTTGAAACTGAAAGTATGACCTTTAGCTAGTAGTATCAATAAGCTAGTTGTAATATGCTATGATGCAAAGAGTTCGTTCGTACTTTGCTCTTCATTTGCTGTAATAAAGACTTCAATTCTTGAGTCTCTTCATCTGTTCTTCTCTTATTTACTGGTTTCTTACTTCTTATTTTTGAGTTACAACAGTTTCTCTAAAACAAATCCCAATAGCTATGTTGTAAATTTAAACCTATTATATGCAAACATGATATTCAGTTCATTACCTTCAAATAGTGTTTCAATACTTCATCTCACAAGATTGCAGCATTTTCTTTTTGCTCCGGAAAGATTAACTTAAATTACCTATTTTCATTTATCAACATTACATGCAAATTGATGTCACTGGAAGTAATAGAACGAACAAAGGGGGGAGCAACATCAAATCAAACAAAAGTTTAGAAGTCATTGGAAGTAATAGAACTTCAAACAATCTTTTTGACATTCAAAATCAATTAATCATTAGCATATTATTCAATCAAATTTTGATCGCAAAAGGAGCAGTAACATACCCTTGAATCTCAAGGTATTGGGATCTGAGTTCATCACCAACTCCCATGGCATCCAATACCTTCCATCCATTCTTGAATAGAGTCAATGACGTTCCTCCAGTCCGCAACGACTCAGCCTGCTCCAGCACCACCGATCGAACCCCCAATCTTAACACAAACAAACCCTAACAACATGATCATCAAAAGTAAACTAAACTTTCGACTGAGACGAAACTCGAAAAGTAACCTGTGTAGCGAAACTGCGGTGGAGAGGCCGGCGATTCCAGCTCCAACGATGACTATTTCTTCCTTCCGGATATCGTATCCACCACTGACAATTGTTAGAGATTTGGGTTTAGTTCTTTTTAATGATTTTGTTCGAATTGTATTACTGGTTTGTTGATGAAGAGTCGGAGGGTGAAGGCAAAAGAAAGATGAAGAGAATGTCGCCATTATCGTGTGTGCGTGTCTGTTTCAGAGAAGAAAACATCATCATTTTGTTTGTTTTTGTGACCACTGAATTTTGTGGCGAGAAGTTAACCAGGTGAGGCGCTGAAATTTTTCCCGGGAAATTCTTGAGCCGTATTAAAGCCGAGTCACATCTTAGAACTATACGGGAGCCGAGCCATTTCGCTCGTTCCCCATTTTCATAATACTTATGCTTTCGAACCACATATGGAAAAGAATCAATTTAATCAATACTCTATTTAATTACGAATTAAAGGCCGTTTACCACACATTTAGTCGTTAAGTGCTTATCGGTAAAATTTAATACTATTATTTACTTACCGGGTAAGATTTTAGTCTATAAAAATGATATTGTATGCAACAATTTACCCGGTAGGCGCTTACCGTGGTAAGAGTCGTCGCCATTACTTACCGGGTAAGACTTATGTTTCTTGTCTCATTCTTACCGGGTAAGATTCTTGGTCCTTACGATATTCATCTAGTGAGATAATTTACTTGATAAGCGCTTACTCAAGTAATCGTTTGATAAACGGACCCTTAGACTACTATCTTTAAAAATATATATGAAACAATTTGAAATTAAAAAATGTTTTATAGTTTATATTTAATTATTCAATTTTATATTAGTATATGGTTATATTTAATCAAAAGATAACACACGTACTAATATAATTCCAGAGGATGGATAAACTAGAGCGCGACATTTGTTCCCATTTTGTTGCGAATAACGGACATGTACTTTTTAACAACATTAATGATGAATGTTACACCATTCATTTTTAACAACATTAATGATGAATGTTACACCATTCATGATGAATATCTTATAAATGTCCACGACACATGTCATGATCTCGTTTGTCACCCTTTCGCAACCGAAGATGCCCCTACAATTCTATAGTCCCTTTTTTGATAATGGATTTGATGAAAACAATCCATTCAACTCGAATGTTTGTTTTAATTATTTTGGCACGACTCATTTTCATGTTTGAATTTTTAACAAATCAATGATGGTTATAAACAAGGCATAATTAACATAGAAAACCAAAAAATAAGCCAAAAGAATCCGGAAATGCCACAAAACTCTACGTATATCCAATTGTTATACATACTATATGTTCATAGGGTCCGTTGTATGTCACAACTCGCAAATGTAAAACGAGTTCACCTACGAATGCACATGGGTATCTTCTCGTTCTTCGTAATTCGATCGTGATTCCTCAAACACACGCAACCGTTGCTAGCGATGTTTATGAAGGAGTGGACTACCTCTTCCAGTCACGTACAAGTGATTGAGATAAAGGAGCTGCAAAACACCAAATCTCCACAACAAGTTAATAGGAAAAGTAATAAATGAACATCCCAATATTAAAATCAAACCAAACAGATACAATAAATCCCACTCGAAAGTGTCACCCTAACCTCTACCTTAAAAGTAGAGCAATTGTTTTGTCAAGAATAGTAGTCCAATCCCGCTTTTAACAGTAGTCTTGTTCATGAACAACTCTAGTTAATAGGGGGGCTTCTTATAGTTTCAATTCGATAGCATTGGTGGATAATTTGAGGCATGTCGTCTCACGGCATAGGGTGTCGATGGACTAATAGAATGTAGAGGCTATGTTGCAACACAGTACCATTTAACAGTTGCGAGGATTTCTAGGTTTGACAGGGTATTATCGAAAGTTCATTGCCAAGAGTGGATAGATTGCAAGGCCTTTGAGTATTCCCTTTCGAAGCAAATGGAGCATTCCAGAAATTGAAGCAAACCATAACAATTAATAAAAAAGAAAGGATAAAAGGCATACCTTCAACATTGTTCCATGGGCGAGGACTATTAGCCGTTCTCTCAGTGAGTTCCGTACAGACCAATCGACTCAAGAGTAGACCCGCGATACAAGCACCGATCATCAGCATTGCAAAAACTGCATCCCAGCCTTTTGTTGAAAGAAATCCAGTCAAAAGAGGACCCAAAGCAGCCCCCATGGAACCCGTACCATCAATAATAGCCGTTACTGTTGCCAAGGCTCGAGAATCGCCTTTCAGGGAGCTGTGGGTCCCAAGATCCGCAGAAACCGCAGTCGTGATAAGTGCATAAGGCCCGTTTACAAATAGGCCAGCAATCATCATAAGCACAGCGTTCATGGTCTTTGAAATGTTCCCATATGTACGATATACAAGCATTGATGGAATTGCAGCGTACATAAAGCTGGCTGCTGTTGTTGCTCGAGCCTTAAGTTTATCAGATATATATCCGGCTAAAATTCCACCCACGATTCCCCCTACATCAAACAAAGTCGACAGGTTTCCTGCAGATTTTACCGACAAACGCTCTCCACCAATTTCTGCAAAATCACCAAAACAGAAGTGAATCTTGTTTTAAAATGAACCCAAAAGAGTTGAACAGATACCAAAAAGGTGGTAGTTTTCGTTCATCTAAATCAGAAATTTGGTCAATTCCCATATGCAATAGAAAAGAAATAGACCAAAAAAGGAACACCTCAATCAAAAATTCTTACCTTGTATAAGCACCTGCATCCTTCAATAAAAGTGTGCAATATTTCAAATTACATTGGCTATAGCTTTATATGTGCAACTTTAGTCTTCCTTCTTATGTTTTGTGTCCACAGTTTTTTTAAATATGCTGACCACCACTTTACTCTACTCTCAAGGTAGAGGTCAAGTCTGCGCACCCCAACGTACACAGTATATCCCACCCGGTGGTGGGTCTGTCAAGGTGGGATGTAGGCAGACCTAACATCTATCCCGTTGTTTTCATTAATACCTTCGGCTACCGGAAACTTATATATGTTTATTGAAATCTATCTTACATTCTATGATATCTTGCAAATGGTATCTTTAAAGCTGTGTGCAGAAAGTACCTGTTTGACTTAGATAGAACGGCAACCAAAAGAGAAAGGTGTATGCCACAAGTTTTGAGAAGAAAAGGCATAATGCAAAGGGAATTACTCCAGGTATAAAACAAGCTCCAATAAGTCCAACGCCTTTTCTATTAACAGACGAAATCCGAGGCACATGAGCTTCCTCATCATTCGAAGTACCCTCTTCCCATATCAAATTTTCATCTTGAATTGTTCCTCTTGCATTCGGAGAAGCTTCACCGGGATTCGGGAATCCTGCATCTTCTGGATAAGCAGCCAAGAACAAAAACACCATGATCCCAGCTGCAACAATAAAAGCACCCGGAAGTATAAAAGACCAACCCCAACCATATTGCAAAACACTTGCAGCAAGAAGAGAACCACTGATATTGCCAATAGATGTGTGAGCATTCCATATCCCCATTATCAATCCTCTCCTTCTTTTACCAAACCAATTACCAACCACCGCTACAACCGACGGCCACCCGGTGGCCTGAAACAATCCGGCAACCATTTGCATCACCAAAAAGTACCAAAAATGATGCACATTCCAAAAGTAACCCATCCCAAACAATCCCACAAATATCCCACTTCCTACCATTCCAGCTGTTAAAAACAAACGAAGATCCAAAGTATCCCCTAAATGTCCAGCAACGTACATTCCCAATGAATAAACGGCAAGAAATGCAACATCAATTTCTCCCAATTTCGAAGTGCCATCTTTCCCATTGAATGGAGCCCATCCCTCTTCTGTTGATGTACCCAAATTAGTACCATTAATGGGTTTGGATTTCAAGAAAAAATCTCCCATCGGCCAAGGGAGAACATTAGCGGAGTCGTAATTGGGGCCAGGATCCAACACACTCTTTATGATGCTGCTAGGTTTTCTCGAAGCATGATAAGCAGCGTATGCAACGAATGTAACAAAAAGAGTCAAATATCTATACGTTTTTAAACTCCAATCTTTACCCCTAAGGCTTCGTATCAACAAAATCCCAGGTGGTATCCCTCTCATTCTAGTCATATTGAGAAACAGAAATTCTAAAAGATTACCCTAATCGAAACTCGATCGTTAACATCTATGAGACCAAAATGGTGTTACCCAGATAAGAATTCAACACAACACAATCAATTCATAGAGGAAACAGCGCAGATACGAAGAATCTTACGAGAGAAGATATGGTGCATTGCCATTTCAAAAGGTTTTTTTTTTTTTTTGATAAATTAAATTCGTTGAAATTCGAAGGAGGGTTGGTGATTTCAAACAAGGAATCAGTGGATGAGTGTGTGAGGGGAGATTGAGAGCTTTTGGCGCAGAGACAAGGGAGAGAGGGCGAGATTGGTGGGAGGACGATGGCTTTAATGGAAGGAGGGGGAACGTGGCGTGTTGCTCATACTTGAGAAAATTTGGTTAGTATCGTGACTGGGCGGTTACGTGGCACCACTTCAATAAATACTTTCAACGACTTTTGGTTTCTCTTTTATATAGTTTCATAAAGGTTCAATTACATTTTTGGTCCTTGTAGTTGTCAAAAGTTTTGGATCGAGTCCCTCCAACAAACTTATTGATACATTGTTGGTCCTTAGTGTTACTACTTTTCATTATTCAACATACACATGTTTGTACTCCGTTATGTGCCCCTTGCATCAGGGGCAATTGTGTCATTTTAACTCTTTATCTGTTTTATCTAAAAATTAAGGGCTTTTGGTTTAAAATATGTACCTCTTTTTTATATAGACATTCTTTTTAAATGGAATCTATGATCACCAAATCATTGTACAAAATTACAATTTTTATCTCTATCGTTTATAATTTATTATCTTTTTTGTTCTTATGAATTAAAATTTATTGTTTTTTATTTCGTACTTATGGTTTAAAATTTATTTTCGTTTTAGTTCTTCATACTTAAAAGTAGTATTTTGGCTTCATGGATTTAAATAGAAATGAATTGTAAACTATAAGAATGAAATTTTGAAACCACAAGGACGAAATCCTCAATTTTTAACAAACCACCGGGACGAAAACATAATTTAATCTGATATCAATTATTGTTTGATCAGTTAACAACAATGTTTATTATTACTAGAATGTCATTCGTGCAATGTAACGAGATACATCTCGATCTTTAATGTTTCATTTTATTCTGTTTTCTCGATGTTATAATACGATTTTATGTGGTACTGGAAAAACGATAATATTTTTATTTTTTTGAATAAAATATAAATTTGAAAGTATCATAAAATTTTGAAAAAAAATGTATTGATTTTAGTATCAAATTAAATATTTAAAAGTTTTNTAACATTTTTTGAAATGTCTAAGGACTTATTTAACATATTTTAGAATGTCCAAGGACTTATTTGTGCCAAAAAATTGTCCAATGACTTATTTAACATGTTTTGGAAAGTTCAAGGACTTATTTGTTCCAAAAAAAAGTTCAAGGACTTAATCATTTCAAACAAGAAAGTTCATTGGTTTTTATTGTACTTTTCCCATTAAAAAAACATGTTCCTTTTAGTATCTAATTAAATATTTAAAAATTATTGTTTGTTTATGTAATTTTTCTATTTAATTTTTTATTATAATTTAATTTAGATTAATAATGAAGTCATTTATTTTTGATTTAATAATATAATTCTTTTATAAAGATAATATTTAGTATTTTTGTTAGAATTCAACAGTTATCCTAAATATATTGTAGATTTTTTATATTTAAAATGAGATATTTATCTATTATTTGATTATGTTTATCTATAGTCAGTTACACGAACTCAAACATAGAGCTTTAGTAAGTTGTACATACGGACAATTTACTTGTACTCTTGAGTTTTAAGTAATATGCATCAATAACCAGTACTTAATGCATAAAAAACGGTTTTTAAGAGTTTTTGTCAAATGTTTTATAATATAGTATAGATAGTGAACTACATTCGTGGTCTCTTATCGATGGCTGATTTTTGGTTTTGATTTCTAAAAGTCATAAAGTACACCATTGGTTCATTTTTCGTGTTTTGAAATCCAAATTAGTCCCTACACCTAACATTGTTATAGAGACTCCTTTAACTTTGTCATGTGTCCGTTACATGAGTGATAAATCAGACATTTTACTCCTTATCCCCTTACACCACCTTGACCACCATATTTTCCCGTAACCCTCCTCTCTGCCACCACTCACCATCACCCTCAACCATTAACAACCACCACCATCCTCAAAAATGCAAATTCAAAAAACACTTATCCAAAATCAAGAAATATATCAAGAACATCAACAAGCAAATTTATGAATCCACTGAAAACATTTGTGATACAGAACTGAGATCCCTAAAATCAAAACCTATCTCTAGTACCCTCTTTTCTAACCTATTTGGGTTCATTTATAGATTGTGTAGGTGTAGAAAAGAGGATACTAGAGATAGGGTGGGGAAATCGAGGAAGACAAAGAGGGGGGCGAGGGCTGTTTTTTATTTTCATATTTTGTGTAAATGTACGATATAAACACTTGTATATAAGCTTTAAAGAGTTGTTCAATTCAATTTTTTAATAAAAATGTACAAAATGACTGAACTGCCCCTGACTAACAAGTATCTATTAAGGAAGTTAGAGCAAATACGTTATTTCAAACTCAAATAAAAATAACGGGTACAATATTTAGACTTACTGAAGAACAAAGGACGGTTTTCAAATTTTCGATACAACCACAAAGACCAAGAATGGAGTTTACCTTTTGTGTAGTAAATGAAGTTTAAGGACGATTCCGTGAAAGAAACCAACCTACAAGGAGCAAATACATAAATTACTCAAAAAAAAAAAAGAGTAAACTACGATTTTAGTTCTTGCGGTTTGTTTTTTTCATCGTCAATTTCCTCCTTGCTCTTTAATTATTGCTTTTTTCATCACTATTGTGTCCATTTCATTTCCCTTTTAGTTCTTGAGGTTAAAGACGCCAAACAAATCCGTTAAATCAGGGGCAATTTGGTCTTTTATCCTTGTTTATTTTTTGATTAAATTATATATTATAAAAGATTTTCGAAAAAGAAAAACAGAACCTAACTTACCCTGCTTGCCTCTCCCTGCCACCCCAACCTCTTGAAGTCCATTTTCATTTCTTGGAAGGTGTTGCACAAAACAAGAGTATTTACCAACATTTAAAACTCGATGAGAACCAACATTTTGCACAAAACAAGAGTATTTACCTGTAAGGGTATCAATATTTACAAGATAGTGAATGACAAAAGTTAAATATAAGAGTTTTTTGGACTTCTATCTAATTCTAGTAGAACTAGATTTAGGTTGGGGTTTATATCAACCACCAAGATTTGTCATCTTCAAAAGTACCAGAACTCCCAAAACTGTTATCCCCGCTTGAGCCTCTAAATGACACTTTAAGCTCTACATCACTGACCCTTGTGCTCGACACCACTCTGACCTGCTATACATGCCAATAAGAAAAGTGTTAGACTTAATACCTAGTGAGTTCAAATAGTTTATTCCAATAAGTAAAACCATAAAGGAGATGAAGTGTTCATAAAAGTGCACCCCTCTTGAGATAAAGAGTCGGTTGAAAATAAGGGATAAAGTCTTTTTCAAATATTCCTTTGAGAAAACAAATGCAGTAAATAATTTATCTTGCAATGATGGGGAGACCCGATTCTATTAAGTGATGGAACACAAAATAAACCACCCTTAGCATATAAGTCGGGTGTTTACTCCATATGGGGCTAAGATAAGAACCTCAAAACTCATTACTTAGATGGTCCATACAGTTACAAAATGAGAACATCAAAACTCATCGTTTGGCTAAAACCAAAGGTTCACTGGAGAGAGCATCAAAACTCTTCCTTTGTCCCGAACCAATAATATCAAGAAGAGAACATCAAAACTTCTATCGTGATAGTGTATGAACAATACATATAGATCCGATGCAACAAGACATAAAATTGAGGAATGTCTCAAAGCTTTACAAAATAAGTACTATCATGGATTTGTCCAAGAAAGAACGGCAAAGCCGATTTTCATCAAATCCATAAAAGATAGATGATGTGTTAGTCAAACCAAATGGCATCACGAAAAAATTATAGTGGCTGTAACGTGTCCTGAAAGCCTTTTGGAACATCATCCCCTTTTACTTTCACTTGATGATACATGGATCGCATGTCAATCTATGATAAGCATCCCGTACCTTGAAATTAGTCGACGAGCTCGTTGATTGTCATGTCCTGATTTCTGTTGAGTGTCGTGACATTAATCTTAATAACTTATGCTTGCATAAGATACGAACATAAAAATTTCGAAACATATTGAACATAATTACGGAAGCGTAAAATATTTTAACATAATCAATGCTAATTAAAATATCTAAACTAGGTAAAGATTAATATCACGTGGCGCTACAATCATCAAAAGAATGTTATTCAACATGTAACGCTGTATTTCTCCAAAAGTGTCGACCCAAAACTGCCCCTAACGGCAACCAACACTCTGTTCAACCCTTGGTAGCCCCACTGCTATGCGATCCTGATATACATGTCATTTTAAGAAGAAAAAATGTTAGGCTAACGCCTAGTGAAATCAAACAGTTAAAAAATAAAACTATAAAATGTCAAAACTGAAAACATAGCTTTAATCAAGACATTTTATGTATTCATATGATAATTGCCTTTAGGAGGGTGTAAAACCTCGAAAGATGACGGGGGACCCAATTTACCATTGATAGTGATTGAACATATAAGTAAGTCATATTTCAATGTTATATAAGCGTCACATATGGATAACCAAGTTAGCAAACTCAACTCTTCGAATCTTTTGCTTGCGAAATCACCAAGTTCAACTCCTCGAGTCTTTACCTTGAGATCTCCATAATCCAAAGTTAAGCTAATTCACTTAGAAATTACATTATTGGCCGATGCCCGACTCCAAGAGTCCACAATATACGGTATGAACATAATATAAGTTCAAATAAAAGTTAACATAAGTACTTACCGGTTAAATTGTTGCATATGATACCACTTTAATGTACTTATCGGTAAAAATTTCAAATAAGACAAAATGATGATAAAATTTAACTTTAAATAAATTCTAAAAAGTTAAAACTTAAATGAATATTAATTGAATTCAAACTAAATAAATAAAATATTATATATATTAAATCTAATATATAAACGAACATAGAAGAACGAATATAAACGAACGTAAATGAAAAAATATTAACGAACATAAATGAACGAACGAGACTCTTGTTCATGTTCGTTTGTTTAACTAAACAAACAAACAAAAATTGTTCATGTTCGTTCATATATTAAATAAATGAACATAAACGAATTTTTCAACAAATAGTTTGTTGAATGTTCGGCTCGTTTACGGCTCCTTCCGTAAGGGGACGTACTAGTTTGGAGATAAAATGCAAAAAAAAAAATTCGGATCTAACCCGAACCTTAACCCATATAACTGTCAAATCAGGATGCCAAGCGGCAATTCAGATAAGACGCTGCAAGCCCTTGCTCTGTCGAGCTCTCAAAATTCAGTCATGGCTAACATTGTTCTTCCTCAGGTAAACCCTCTTCCCATTTGATTTCTCTATATCTTTCATGCATTCATCTCTACTGAATTCTTTAATCTTTTAGTTGAAAACCGAAACTTTCAGGCACTGTTTATGATTCCCACGAATGTAGCCAAATTTCAATCGAAGAAACTTGGGGTTTCTGCCTTTTTACCCCCATTCAATGCAGCTTCTGCGTCAATCTTCAGTGTTTCGTCATCACGGTGCCGTTTTAATTTGGGATTTGGTAATAGGGATTCTTTTGTGGTTAGAGCTGAGGCTGATGCTGCTGCTGATGCAGAGCCCGAAACGACGAGTGTTGTAACGGAAGTTACGGATGATGTTGAAGATGAAACGGTGAAGGAAGATGAGGAAGAGGTTGAAGCAAAGCCACCAAGGAAACCTATTGTAAAGCTTGGCGATATTATGGGGGTAAATTGTTGAATGTTCCTTGAATTCTTCTTTTGTTTCTGGTTGTTTCCTGTGAAACTTAGGGTTTGTAATTTCATACCACTTTGTACAAAACAGATGTTTTTTTACTTAATTAAGTGGTGTGAATTGAGACTTTTTGGAAAGAATTTTATGATTACATCAACGTTTATAGCAATTAGTATCCAAAATCAAGGCCCATATCTTCTGTTTGTGATTCGGAGGGTGTAATTTGATGGTTTCCTTGGTGGTAGTTTAATCAGTGTGCTGTGTCTGTTCAAAAATTTGTGAAAAGCAATGAGAATCTGTTCAATTTTGCCATTAGCTCGGTTCAAAGATAAGAGATGCATTTTGAAGTGAATCTATCAAACGAATTTTGTTGGTTTCTTTATTCATTGTTTGCTTTCTTTATTTCTGAAGAACCCCTCTTTGATTTTTAGCTTCTTTTAATTATAGATTCTGAACAAGCAAGCAATCGAAGCTTCAGAAAGTTCAAGGCCAGTACCCGACCTTCGAACCGGAGATATTATCGAAATCAAATTTGTAAGTTTGTTGTTGAATGTTTTCTGAATGTATATGGAGAATGTGATTTGTGATGGTATTTAACTTTGTAGGAAGTGCCGGAAAACAGGCGTAGGTTGTCTATTTACAAGGGTATCATAATCTCAAGACAAAACGCCGGCATTCACACCACAATTCGCATTCGGAGGATCATTGCTGGAGTTGGAGTTGAAATTGTGTTCCCTATGTAAGTTTCATGTTGTTCTGTATGCTTCTTGATGGTTTTTGAAAAATGATATATGCTCTTAAAGAGCTTCATGGAAACAGCCGCGATACTCTTTAAAGGGAGTTCTTTATTTGTGTTCTTGAAAGGGAAGGGAAGGATTGGGAAGGAAACAACTTTTATGTTCTTGAATCAGATTGAAAGGAAAAGAAAGAAGTCATTTTTACAAATATACCCATTATATTTGTTTTATGGTGTTAAATTGATGGGTAGTTTTGTAATTTTTACTAGAATGTCTTAAGGGTTATCATTTCTTTTCTTCCTTTTCTTCCCACATTTGGGAGGAAGCTATCATTTGTTGTCCCATTTATTCCTTTCCTTTCCCTCCTAAAAGTTTCAAGATTGCATGTTTTTTTGTGTTCCCCTCCTTTCCCTCCCTTTTCTTTCATAAAAATGGTTTCCAGAACACAGTGATTAGGGTAGAGAACAAGTCTGCATTACTGCATAATTCCCACCCTCATACCCTACTTTCGAGTGAGATATACTGAGGTTTGATGCGAGTATGTTTTGCACAGATACTCTCCGAACATCAAGGAAATAAAAGTGGTGAAGCACAGGAAAGTTCGAAGAGCAAGATTGTACTATTTGCGAGACAAGCTTCCAAGGCTCTCCACTTTCAAATGAAAACCCGATTTTCTTCAGTCATTGAAGTTTTGGTCCTGGAGAAAGGTACGTTGTACGGTGTATGTTTAAAATTCTTTCTACATGTAATATTTGTTAACTTTTAAAATTGTTTCTAGAGTATCATCAGCATCTGATTATGCTTTTTGTTGTCTACTGTTTTGGTTTGTTCTAATGATTTGTATGAATTGTGTTTTCTCCTACCTGGCAAATGACAATTCTACCCTTACCAAGATCATCTTTTCTTTAGGAGGAGTAATTGATATATCATCATCAGGAGATAGAATTACCATTGCAATGCACTGGCAGTTCTGGAATCAATAGATTGAAAATTTATGAGAAAGAATAGCTGCGAGCAAATATTATGAGTAGAAGTAGTAGCAAAAACCAACAAACAAACCCTACCTAGAAATAGTGGTTATTTAGGAGAATAACCTCTGACAGATTTAAGAACGTCTCTGTCGGCATGCATTTAGAAAACCTGTGAAAAGGTTATTCTTCAAATAACCCCAACCCCTTGAACCATAGTGGGCTCAAAACAGCAGAAGTACTTGCTTTTTTAAGTAATTGCTTTGAGCCTTCAACCATGCACCACAAACATCAAGAAACAACCATTACTTTAAGATGGTTTTGAAGAAACAACCAATTGCCATAATGGGATAGGTGGTAGCAGAAGTGAGACTTGAAAGCAACACCCGAAAGCGTATGTGTTTAATAGATACTTGCATAACCCTATTTATAGGAAAACTCGATAATTATGACCAAATCACAACTTTTCATTTGATATATTTTGATTCGAAACTCATTAGCATACAAGTTATCACACTTCTTGATCATAAGCCACTTTGCGTATCTTGTGACCTGTGCCTACAACCATGATCACAAGTTACGACGCTCACCCATTTAAGAGTTGTTCTTGCCACCGATAAGACAATGAAGAGAATTTTGTGCGACGAACTTTATTCAACCTTTAAAACTAAGCTAATACTTGAGATACCCATTAAATATGGTAGGTAGAGGAAACTAAACTTACCACCACTTACTGATTCGCTGTAGTTTCAGCCCAGTACAAGAAACATGAAAATTGTTTCCATCTTTTAGAGTTTTATTAACCATTTCTATGACTGAATAAGTTTCTCAAAATTGAAGTTGTTGGACTATTACCTGCGTTTCACAAGGAGACAAGAAAGACTTATTAGACTAAATTTGATAGTAGTTGAAAATAGCCTTTTGGAGAAAAAACTGGACTATGAAAAAATGATCGAATATTTTGTTTCAAAAATGTTAAGAATAATAAGACCTTGTTTGCTTTTTGAAAAAGAGTTCTTATCGGTCTCTTATATTTGATTTGGTAAGAATGTAGAGTTATTCAGATTGTTTGTTCTTTTTTTCCAATTTTCAGAAGCACTTATGTCTTACTGTTCTCTTATCTATTGGTCTCCAGACTCTCAACAAGAGCATTTCTCAATCACTCCTCTCTCGATCGATTAACCTTAGTCGATCCTTACCAAATAGATCTTTTCTCGCAATCAATCGTTACCCTTCACAAATCAATTCTCAACTCTCAATCGACCCAAGTTGTTGATCTCAATCTATGCTAATCGATCCCATCTCTCTATCACCGTTCTCCACCAAGTGTTTGTAGATTGAAGTAAAAAAAATGGCAGTGTTCTTCACTCACGTATTTGTTTCTATTATGTTATATGTTGTCACTAATTCCATGACATGATTGTTATGACCTATCATGAACTTTTTGATACTTTGTTTCACTAAATTTGGATATAGGGCTGCAATCAAATGTCAAATTGGATGATTTTGTGCTCCTAATGGTTTTGAACTGTCATGAATTGCTAGTTTATAATTTAGATGTAAATTTTGTAATGATGAAGAATAAACAAATAAAAATGTATAATGTATATAAATTCAACATTATGATCTTTTAAAGGGTAAGATAGACAATTATACAGATTCAAACATATATCATTTGCAAAAAAATGAACAATCTTATTGATTCTGCTTGCAGACAACATCACCTCTTATCAATCAAAAATGAAATAAGGCTTCAAATATCAACACCTCTTAAAAACCAACAACACCTAATTCTATTTAAGTGAAATTTATGTTATCTTGTCATTGTAAAACATTTATATTGTTTTACTTTGTAGGATTCTAATATAATATATAGTATAAATTTCTATATTTTATTTTATCTATCTATCTAGTCAATTTATAATCTTGATATAATATATATATATATATATATATATATATGTATATATATATATGTATATGTATATGTATATATGTATATGTATATGTATATATGTATATGTATATGTAAGAGAACATTGTAAGTATTTGACCAACTACATGTGTGAATTATCTTGAAATAATTTCATTAGATTTGTCACGGTGAGTTCAACTCGTTCGCATGAGAGATGTGTACCATGTGGTTGCATCTTGGATGCAGTCAAATTTGTTTAACGCCATTTGCTGCTCAAACCGTAGCTGAAAATGCTATTCGTACAGTAAGGCTAGGCTAAATGCATTTCGTTAAATATACCTCCATCTAACATTAAAATTTACTTTCTACATTTTAAATTCATGATTTGATCTGATTTAAATATAAATAGAGTTGCATAAAGCACCATCCTATCCTAAAATATATTATCATTTGCAACATTGTTGCTTTGTTCAACTCTTCTTTTAACTTCAAATACTTGCACAATTTCTATGTGAATACTTTGAAAATAAATCTTGTATGTATGCTATGTGTTACCCAAATTCTACGACTACTTCAAATACTTATTAAGCATCTACAAAGTCTTACTCCTATCATCTATGAATGAGACATAACCTAAAGGTTTGGTTTACTAGACACTCATCGTCTTAAACCGCATACATTTGACTTGCAATATCGTTGGTCGAGATGTTGTTCTGATAAGAATCAAGAGTCTCGCTTACTCGTCTTGTTTGTGTTGGAAAACGAGTTCTAAGGGGATGTCTGGTTCGCGGAATCTGTAGAATTTGAACGACAAATTTTTTTGACCAAATCCCCCGGTATGTTTCATTTATTGATTGAATTGAGCCAAATTTCGTGTCTTTCATGGTTGAGTGATTTTTGATCTTTCATCTTCTTACGTCAAGGAATTGAATTCCATTTATGCCAATGCCAATGGTTCCATAATATGATCTTAAAAATATAACCTACAAATCTAATTTAACTGACACCAACACCAACACCATTTTAACGTCATAATCTTTGTCGTCATTGCCACCGCCAACACCGATGTAACCGACACTATCACCATAACGTCACCACCATTGTTGCAGCATTCATTTATGCCGCCGCCACCACCACCACGACCACTACTGCAACCTTCACCAATTAATATCATTATTAATTAATCAAGAAAGTTTGAAAATCTTATAAAGACGTATTTTGGTCATTATTTTATTACAATTTCAAAATTATATTTTATGAATCAAACAGATGAATTATATCCCATTTTTGGACAAACCTATTTAACAAAACCAAATGCTGTGTGTCTACAAGTATTAATGATGAATCAGGAAGGATCATTAATAAATAAATAAATAAAATCCAAGCTTGCCTGAGTCATGCATGGTATTGTCTTCCATTCCTAACCACCAAATTGAACTCAGAAACTATCAAAAAGATATATACATTTGTTAATCCAATATCTATACTATCTTATTAGGTAAATTTAACAAAAGTTTAAAATCTTAAAATACTAAGGGACCAAAATACCTTTTATACTATCTTTATGTCATTTTTTCACTTTTTCACTCCCTCATCTCCTCACATACATTCACACCCTCATATACACTCACCCTCACAACCTGATTTTTTTTAAAATTATAATTTTAAATTTACACTTTATACCCTTATAATTAATTAATTAATTTACTTTACGTCCTTTACTTTTAAATGTTTCATTTTAAACTTTTATCAAATTAACATACAAAATCGTATATCAATTAAAACATGTTTAAAAAATACAATTTTATTTTAACAAGTTATACCATTATAATCGTCTTGTTAATACCTTCGAAATGAGTCCAATATGAATAGTTTTTGACTTAATTATATTATTATATATTATATATATTGTGAAAAAATATTTTTAATATTTACGATTTATACTTTTATATATATACTATATATTTCGGGGTTAGGCTGTCCAAATTGCACTGTATAATATGTTCTTGGGTTTTTTTGAAATATGTATATATATGTATTAATTCAACTTTAATCTGAGTTTCTGGACAAGAAAGAGGGTAAACAGTTGAAATTTAATTCTAAACCCCATATTTTTTGGTCTTTTCATGGCTTATGATCTGTCAAATTTGTAGTTTTCTTTATTGGTTTTGAGTGTTTATCTTAAAACTCAAGTTTATTGGTTCTTTGCTCTTGGTGTAAATCGAACAAATTTGTGGAGTCGTTTAAATATGTTGGATTTTAAATATATTGGATTTTAACTGTCATACAATTTTTTTCATCGATAGTCTGTAATTGGAACCCTAACTCTTATTTATTCAAATTGTATTAATATGTAAAGACCAAGTGTAACCTATATTATCGTTAAATCTTATCTTATAAAATCAGTGGAACTTCAAAATCGTTAAAATTCATGGCTCCTGCCGCATTGTGCGGGTACACAACTAGTATGATATTAACTTTGCAAACTGATTTTATCCATTGATCTTTAAAAATTTGTGATTAAGATCATTCATGACATAAAATGTAAATAAATGCATACATAGACAAGATAACATAAGTGAACAATGTTTACAAGGGGTATTTGGAAAATTAGTGGTGCATTTATGACTGTTGGGTCACCTATTGATTTGGTGATGACCCACTGATCTGTTCC